GATTAGTCACGAGGGAGCTTCACCAAATTCAGCTTCAATAACAAAAACATAAAGGGGACCAAGTAAACCAAATTCTAACCTTTAAAAAGCTGGGGAACATATACAAAAAAAAAAGACCCCAATTATGCCTAGAACAGATTTTCTTGGTGGCTATCGATGTATGCACAAGGTTTTTTCCTCTAAGAAAAAGGGGGAGTAGATGTAAAACGAAAGAGACGGCCTCCCTTTACAGGGGCCGGGAAAAGAAAAACGAGCGGCTAAAAGAGGTCAAATATCTGAAATGCGTAGGAGACACTGGTCAGAGAAATAGCAAGCATCGAACTTAAGCTAAAGGAAACTTTGGAGTCAGGAAACGCGGGGGGAACAAAAGCCCTAAATGAAATCGAAAAAAACCCAAAGTTTTCTTCTCCTACCCAAAACAAAGTCGAGAACAAGTCCAATTGGGGCCCCCACTTAAACAAGATGGGTCCTACAAAGACAGCAAGGAAAGAGTGGTACCAAGTCCCAATTGGGCCAGTTTTTTTGCAAGCCGTAAACCCGACGGGTCAAGATCAAAAATTAAAATTTTTTATGAGGAGCCACAAATTGGTTTTAAAACAACCTTCCGATGTTTTCCTGACGCCAAAGACTTCGAACAGGCGATAAAAGACATGCCATGCACTCTCCCCAGGGGGCCCTACTCATGGAACTCCGTGTTCATCGAGAACTGCAAGAAGTCCCTATACACCTTACCATCCTAGGAGAGGGGGCTGGACCGGGGGCGTCCCCTTACAAAAACAACAGAATACCCCGCTCCACAAAGGGGGCATAAACAACAGCAAAGAACTACAGACCGATAGCACTAACACCCTATATAAAAATCTTTGAAAGGGTCCTAAGAAGCAAGTACCACCCCTCTAAAACCCCTCATTTACACAACCCAGGGCAACATGGGGTTTTGAAAAAGTCCTCCCGTCTGTCTCAACTATTGGATCACTACGCAAGTCCTAAATGCACAAAGACAAAAAGAATGCAGATGTAATATATACAACTTTGCAAAAACCTTCGACAAGTTGACCAGGCGTAATAGCGCCCAAAAAAGCGTCAAAGGAATAACAGGAAAGTCGGTCGATGGATCCATAATTTCCTCACTACAGAGAACAGAGATTAATTAGTGAACAGAGTAAAGTCCGAGGCAGCTACGGTGAAAAGCTCTGTTCCACTAGGCACATTACTCACTCCCATCTTGTTCCTCATCCTCATATCTGACATAGACAAGGATGTCACCCCAAAAGCACCGTTCTTCCTTTGCAGATGACACCCGAATCTGCATGACAGTGTCTTCCATTGCAGACACTGCAAGGCTCCAGGCGGACATAAACCGAATCTTTCAGTGGGCTGCAGAAAACAATATGAAGTTTAATGATGAGAAATTTCAATTACTCGAAAATGGTAAACACGAGGAAATTAAATCTCATCAGAGTACAAAACAAATTCTGGCCACAAAATAGAGCGAAACACCAACGTCAAAGACCAGGGAGTGATCATGTCGGAGGATCTCACCTTAAAGGACCATAACATTGAAATCAATCGCATCTGCTAGAAAATGACGGGATGGATAATGAGAACCTTCAAAACTAGGAGGCCAAGCCCATGATGACACCTTCAGTCACTTGTTCTATCAAAGGCTGGAATATTGCTGCACACTAACAGCCCCTTTTTCAAGGCGGTGAAAATTGCTGACCTAGAAAATTACAGAGAACCTTTACGGCGCGCATAACGGAGATAAAACACCTCAATTACTGGAGCGCTTGAGGTTCCTAAACCTGTATTCCCGGGAACGCAGGCGGGAGAGATACATGATTATATACACCTGGGAAAATCCTAGAGGGACTAGTACCGAACTTGCACACGAAATTACTCACTACGAAAGCGAAAGACTTGGCAGACGATGCAACATCCCCCCAATGAAAAGCGGGGGTGTCACTAGCACGTTAAGAGACCATACAAAAATGTCAGGGGCCAGAGACTGTTCAACTGCCTCCCATCATACATAAGGGGATTACCAACAGACCCCTGGCAGTCTTCAAGCTGGCACTGGACAAGCACCTAAAGTCGGTTCCTGACCAGCCGGACTGTGGCTCGTACGTTGGTTTGCGTGCAGCCAGCAGTAACAGCCTGGTTGATCAGGCTCTATCCAAACCAGGAGGCCTGGCACCAGACCGGCCGCGGGGCGTTGCCCCCCGGGAACTCTCTCCGGGTAAACATTCAGTCGAATGGAGTATTCTGTTAGGTAGTGTATTTTAAAAAAAAACAAAGTTAGATTGGTCTTAGGTGCTATCATGCATTGCACCATATGCGTAGAGAAACCCAGGATAACCCCAAAAGGTCAGTGACTTAATTCCAACACTAGCTACATGAATGTTAACTATACACGAAATCATTCTCCTCCCTTCTGTAACGAACCTTATCCCTGAGAATGGGTAATCACGTTGTAGTATTATGACCCACCCATTGGCTTAGCGACCATGGAATACCGGTTTTCAGATCTCCACCTTTAAATTTAAAAATAAACTCACATCTGCTTTCAGTTGTGCAAATAAAGCCATAAAAAAGAAGAAACTTGTAATGTCAAATCCTAGACACGCTGATACGTAGTAGTACCAAACTTACTTTTTGTTTTCTTAAGCTAATGGCAAAAATTATTGCTTAGTTACTTGCCTTATTAATCTCAAGTTAATTTTAAGTTTTGCCCTAAATGCTCTGCATATAAAAGGGCTTTGCCTTTGGCATGTACACCCAACTATTATATTTCTTTGTATATACATGTATCATGTCAAAATAAATATTATTATTATTTATGCATTTTAATTAGAAAAGAGACGAAACTTGTGATAAATCCAGCATTGGGTTGAAGGTCACCACAACCACGTGGATAGTGACTGACTGTCACCTCTACTGTTCGAATGTGTCGCCTCGACTTTATCACACCTCCCAGCGAGCTGCCTTCATATTAGCGAGGATCTGGGCACTTACATAAAGTGTATTACATCCGCTTATTTTAAAATTGTGTTGTTTCGTATTGTCCCCTCCTTCCTTGGATTGAACTATTACTATTTCTACTACTACTACTACTACTAAAGATTATTATTATTATTATTATTTTATTATTATTATTATTATTATTATTATTATTATTTTTATTATTATTAAATTTTGCTACTGGCTCACAGCATGTAGGGTGTACGTACATAATAATAAAAATATCTTTATTCTACAAGTACATGACAAGGCAAAGGGGAAATTGCTGACCTAGAAAATGTACAGAGAACCTTCAAAGGCGCGCATAACGGAGATAAAACACCTCAAATTACTGGGAGCGCTTGAGGTTCCTAAACCTGTATTCCCCGGAACGCAGGCAGGAGAGATTTCAAGATTATATTCACCTGGAAAATCCTAGAGGGGCTAGTACCGAACTTGCACACGAAAATTCACTCACTACGAAAGCAAAAGACTTGGCAGACGATGCAAACATCCCCCCAATGAAAAGCAGGGGTATCACTAGCACGTTAAGAGACCATACAATAAGTGTCAGGGGCCCGAGACTGTTCAACTGCCTCCCAGCATACATAAGGGGGATTACCAACAGACCCCTGGCAGTCTTCAAGCTGGCACTGGACAAGCACCTAAAGTCGGTTCCTGACCAGCCGGGCTGTGGCTCGTACGTTGGTTTGCGTGCAGCCAGCAGCAACAGCCTGGTTGATCAGGCTCTGATCCACCAGGAGGCCTGGTCACAGACCGGGCCGCGGGGCGTTGACCCCGGAACTCTCTCCAGGTAAACAAGGTATACAGGTATAACATCAATGACATACGTACTACTATATAGAAAGTCCCTTGTTATGCTGAGCATTTAGGGCAAATTAGGTCAGTTTTGTCCCAGGATGCGACCCACACCAGTCGACTAACACCCAGGTACCCATTTTACTGATGGGTGAACATAGACAACAGGTGTCTTAAGGAAACACCGGAGATTCGATATCTGGACCTCAGTGTGTGAGCTGAGTGCGTGCGCTAGCCATCCAGCTAATCATAATCACTCATAACCGATAGTTACAGTAGTCACGAGATAAGGCTGTGATAGTTACTGTAGTCACGAGACAAGGCTGTGATAGTTACAGTAGTCACGAGACAAGGCTGTGATAGTTACTGTAGTCACGAGACAAGGCTGTGATAGTTACTGTAGTCACGAGACAAGGCTGCGATACTGTAGTCACGAGACAAGGCTGTGATACTGTAGTCACGAGACAAGGCTGTGATAGTTACAGTAGTCACGAGACAAGGCTGTGATAGTTACTGTAGTCACAAGACAAGGCTGTGATAATTACAGTAGTCACGAGACAAGGCTGTGATAGTTACTGTAGTCACGAGACAAGGCTGTGATACTGTAGTCACGAGACAAGGCTGTGATAGTTACTGTAGTCACGAGACAAGGCTGTGATAGTTACAGTAGTCACGAGACAAGGCTGTGATAGTTACTGTAGTCACGAGACAAGGCTGTGATAGTTACTGTAGTCATGAGACAAGGCTGTGATAGTTACAGTAGTCACGAGACAAGGCTGTGATAGTTACAGTAGTCACGAGACAAGGCTGTGATAGTTACTATAGTCACGAGACAAGGCTGTGATAGTTACAGTAGTCACGAGACAAGGCTGTGATAGTTACTATAGTCACGAGACAAGGCTGTGATAGTTACAGTAGTTAAGAGATAAGACAGTTACAGTAATCAAGAGACAAGGCTGTGATAGTTACAGTAGTTAAGAGATAAGACAGTTACAGTAATCAAGAGACAAGGCTGTGATAGTTACAGTAGTTAAGAGATAAGACAGTTACAGTAATCAAGAGACAAGGCTGTGATAGTTACAGTAGTTAAGAGATGAGACAGCTGTAGTAATCAGGAGACAAGGCTATGATAATATTTGTGTATACCTGAATAAACTTACTTACTTATAATTACCGTAGTCAGGAGACAAGACAATCGGACACTGGTTGGTAGTAACCAAGCTGGTAAGCAGGGCTGCTCCAGACTCAGTTGGATAAAATTTCTTGTTTGGGTTGCCCGTGCAAGTGTCAGCAATATTCATCTAGCTTCCACCACAATATGTCATCACCTGCTAAACTTGGTGGGTCTTAAGTTTTTGGTGTTCACTTCTTTATGTATATAATAAAGTGCATCTTACATGTTCATGGTGGACTGTGTTGGCGTTCCCTAGGCGAGTGTTAGGGACTTGCGATGGAATTTTTTTTCTTGTGGTTTAAATAAGGTGTGTCAGGTCTTCCAATATTAACGTAGGAGTTAACGATCTAGTAATATTCACTACAAATAATGAAGTGTAAATAAGTCAAGGACCCCAATGAATAAAAGTCGCTAAATTTTTGGGGTTATTCTAGGCAGTTTACACTGATAATTGGGCTTGCGTACTTGTGCCTACATAAATGTTTTACTTCATGGAAGGATGCGCCTCGGCGGAAGTCAGTCATTTTATATTTAACGCTACATACAACATATGTGAAGTGTTATTATGGAAGATATTAGCGAAAGAAAATTTTATTTTACCACAGGCGGCACGTCAGAGCCATCAACGCTTAGTATTGTATCTTGGCCAGTCACAGTAATGTAAACAAACACGCAGCGGATGTAAACAAAGATGATGGTCGAGTAAGATTTAAGTTATTTTAGTTTGGTTTCATTAGGTTTATGTACGTTTCTTGCCATTTACACGTGATACCAAAACACTTCTAACACTCGCTCAATGTACAATTTATCGCCGAAATTTGGGTGCTTTAATTATCATAAAATACTTTTTGACTGTCTCCCCCACAAACCAAAAAATAGCTCGGACAACCCATTAAGCATTAATTAGATTTCTCTGAAAGGAGGTGCCTTGATAAAGGTGCTGGAATTGAAAACCCCCCTTGAAGGAGGGGTTCTTGATCCAAGGAGTTGACAGCATCCCTTTCCTCAGATTGAAACAGATTCCCTTCCATCCTCATGCACTATGGCCCTGCAGGTTTAGCACTTTCCCTGATTAGAAAAAAATATTAACACTGACGACCACGCCCAAGAACCCCAATGAAAGTAAGTCGCTGACATTTTTGGATTATTCTAGTTAATTTACATGTGTTAAACTGTGTATAACTGCACTTACGTGTACTTGTATATAAATAAATTTAATAAAGCACAGACTGGAAGCATGCTCTAGTCTAGACAGTCCACTCTTCCACTTGTATTTAGTGAAATAAATTTGTGAGCGCATGGTCTGATGTGCGTGTATGCTTTGGGGTTGTGGGTTTACAGTGTGATGTCACCAATTTTGCATCTGCACATTGTTAGCTTTAAGAAAGCAATACACTGGCACTTACAAAGGTATTTTGTTTGTATGTAGATTTATACCAAATTTCAGCTATAGTTTACAACTATCACTCTGGAATTTGGGATCATTTCTGAGTTGGGATCCTGGTGACATTAGTTAATAGCAGCAACAATATAGTAAGTGGGTACACTAGTTAAACAGGCATAGTGCAGTAGTGTAAAGCAGCTCACACTGTTATACTCGTTAAAGAAATTCACTCTTTTTCTAGTTGATCTAGGCTCTTGATGTTCTTACACAACATGTCATTCAATATATATACCATATTTAGCATTGATGACTCAGATGAGGTGCTAGATACATGTATAAGTATTAGATCCTAAGATCAATTTAGTTGCATTATGAAAGTTAAGACACTTGTGCAACATCTGGTTATCTTTATTGTAGACGTTTCGCCATCCAGTGGCTTTATCAATACAGATTCTTGGACATAATTAGAAAACAGAAGAACTATATACAAAAGATGAGGTAATCAGTCCCTCAGCCTTGGAGGTGGTGTTTACAGCACCATGGTTGTAGAGATTCTGAAGCACAGGTAAGGAGACTGGCGCTTATATAGGCGTCAGTGAATAGGGACGTATAGCAGATGAGGGCATAGTCACTGGTAAGCGGGATTCCCCAGTGGAAGTAGGTCCTTCCCAAATTGATGGGCTAGTTGTAGAAGTCGTGAAGAAGGTCGTGTAGATGTCCTCTGAATCAAGATACCATGATGTTGCAGTGCCTGACAAATTGTGCAAGACAGGTATACAATACCGACAAGATGAAAGTTAAGACACAAGTGTCTTAACTTTCATCTTGTCGGTATTGTATACCTGTCTTGCACATAGTTGCATTATGCACTGAAACTCAAGATAGTGACTTAACATTAGACTTAACATGTATAGATCCAAAAGTTTTGCAGCAGACACTACTGTATATGCAGTTGATAAGAGGATAAAGACTAGACACTGAGTTCCCATCCCCCCCTCCCCATGTTTTCTGTATTTTTTTTTTATGCTAGTTTATTCCAGGTTGCCTCTTATCCTCAATTTTAAGCATAATAGGTGTTCAATATTGTTTTTTTTATATAGTTTTTCTTTTGTTAATTTATTATAATTTTTTTTCCTATCAATAAACTTGTCTGTTGTAACCCCTGTGTATATTCACATTCTAGAGAAATAAAATTTTATTTGGATTAAGTCTAGGATTAATTCACCATTATTTCTGTTGTATATGCTAAATAATTTGTCATACAGATTTCCTTTTGACATAATTTTCTGGTACCTCTGACAGCATTGCTGAGTGTATCTGACAAAAATGGGCTGGTGGACCTGGCTCGGGGCCTGGCTGCTGCTGGTCTCAAACTGGTTGCTTCAGGAGGTACAGCTACAACACTGAAAGCTGCAGGACTGAGTGTTAGTACACTAAGGGTTATCACATACATTCATTTATAACTAAAATTTGATATACCGTACATTAAATAAGACCAAGGAAATCAAGAGGGGCTGTACATTTTAACCTCTATGGTCCTCTTCTGCAGATAAGAGAGGAAGGTTGGCTTGTAATCATTTGCACCTCATTAATGTGGGCAGGGGTTACCTGATCTCTGTTTACAATTAAATGGCAGTCATCAAGTTAACCCTTTCAGGGTCCCCAGGCCCTCTCCCAGACTTGTTCTCAGGGTCGCCCAAATTTAAAAAAAAAAAAAAAAAAAAAAAAAAAAAAAAAAATTCTTATGAAAAGATAGAGAATCTTTTCCCGATCATAATGACACCAAAAGTTTGAAATTTGATGGAAAACTTACGGAATTATGCTCTCGTGAAGTTAGCGGTCTCGACGATGTTTACGCATCGGCGATTTTGCCCACTTTGAGCCCTATTTTCGGCCAATTCCAGTGTACTAGTCAACAAAAATCATAACTATTTTGCTAGAACTCCATTTTTTCTATTGAATGAGTACAAGAAACCACCCATTTACCGATTTCAACTATCCAATACAGTGGTCAGAATTTAGCAATTTTGGCAATTTCACACAAATTTCAAAAGATGTCAATTTCCAAATAGGGTCCAGAATAAACAAGAAAGACATTCCTGGCACTAAAATAACATTTCCTCTGTTCATTAGTCATGTCCCCACGCCCCTCTTACATTCTTTTGCTTTTCACTTTGAATTTTTATTCTCGCAGAAAATTGAAGATTTACTGTTATGCAGACTACTGCATTAGTGTACAAATGGTATAAATAATATCGGCGCACCTGTGAAAGAATTAGACTCGCCAGTTGACGTGTATTGGACGCTTAACATGATTTTGTTTACTTTTGAACTTTGGTAAAAATCGAACATTTCTGCTACTTTGAGCTCAATTTCAAGGTACTTTTCATTGTAAAACCAGTCAAAATTATCTCAATTTCTGTAATATGTCGTCCATTCTATAAAATGAGACCAGGAAAACTAGAATACAGCAATAAATACCATATGAAAATACAATGCAAAGTTGCTGTTTTAATCCAAAAACACGGTCAGTTTTTTTTTTTCTCATTACACACTGTGTGCTGCAGGATTTTTTTTTATACTGCGCACACTGACCACATAGACCCATTCTTTCATATGTAGGCGTACCAGCTTTCTCTCGCTAGATTTGAGGGCGCTAGAATTTAGGCATACTAGTACGTCAAAAACCCTGGTGCGTAAGACATACTAGTACAGTGGACCCCCGGTTAACGATATTTTTTCACTCCAGAAGTATGTTCAGGTGCCAGTACTGACCGAATTTGTTCCCATAAGAAATATTGTGAAGTAGATTAGTCCATTTCAGACCCCCAAACATACACATACAAACGCACTTACATAAATACACTTACATAATTGGTCACATTCGGAGGTAATCGTTATGCGGGGGTCCACTGTATGTCCGAAACCCTGAAAGGGTTAACCAATAAGCAACACCACCACCACTTTGATTTTGTTGAAACTGTGTCGTTTGTGGGGGGGGGGGGGAGGTTAAAGATTTGCAAGTACGTACAGTATTAGAATCCAATCCATAGTTGAAGATTTATGAAAGGTAGCATTTTAAACACTCTTCTAAAGCTTGCACATTTCAGATTGCCATAACTTTCCTTCTGTTTGTCTTGGCTCTTTTAGAGTATAAAATTTGGAATTGTCATGGTCAGGAGATTCCAAAGATAGCATCCTCATATTTCTGTTGAAAAATAGGAAAAAAAAAAAACTTGGAAAATTTGGGGGTGATCATTTGACTTTTTGGATTTAATTTCAGGAAAAATAACAATTATGAAGAAATTGGTGTTTTCATTTCTCCATCAATAGCAGCCTGAAAAGCTTGTTTATTCTGTTTTTATTTGTTAGTTTGAATAACGCCTTTTTTTTTTTTATTATTATATCCACGTTTTAGTTTGTTCTTGGTTCATATTTTTGTAACCTGAGGGGTAGGTAATGATGGGTGATAATATAATGAAGAAAGTGCATATTGTAGATTCCAAAATGCTAGTATTTTTTTTTTTTTTTTATGAAACCTTGTACATACTTTAGATTTTAATGTAAAGTTGTTGCTGTAATTTTCAAGAGTCTGTTATTGTAATCTTGACAGTCTCTTCTGAAAAAACGATAGAATTTCTATTTTTCAGGTGTCCGAGGTGGCAGAGGTGACAGGAGCGCCAGAAATGCTAGGTGGGCGTGTAAAAACTCTGCACCCAACTATCCATGGTGGCATTCTTGCCAGGGAGTCTCCAGCTGATCTAGCTGACCTTGCAGCAAGGAACATTAGCCTCATACAGGTCAGATTATTTCCTACTTCTTGTGACTGCATACTTTCATTTCTGGCTAATTGTTAAAGTTAAATGGAAAGGCACAACCCATTCAGGGTCGAGAGGTCCTCTCCCCAAACTAAGTCTCAGCGTCGAAAAATATTCAAAAAAAGTTTTTTTCTTATGAAATGATAGTTTTTTTTCCGAGTTATAGGCTAAAAAAAATTTTTTGCGATCAGTACTTGTCGAGATATGGAAGCGTGAAGTTGACAGAAATTGAATTGCTTTTGGCAACATCACCGACTGCCGGTCACCCAGGAAGTTTTTTTTTTTTTCTACTTTTTTTTTCTAATTTTCTTTTTTTCAAGTAACCAATATAAAACATAGAACAGTGGACCCCCGCATAACGCTATTAATCCGTTCCTGAGAGCTCAATGTTATGCTAAATTATCGTTATGCGAATTAATTTTCCCCATAAGAAATAATGGAAATCAAATTAATCTGTGCAAGACGCCCAAAAGTATGAAAAAAAATTTTTTTACCACATGAAATATTAATTTTAATACACACAAACTTAAGAAAACATGCACAGTTACATGACACTTGCCTTTATTGAAGATGTGGTGATGATTGATGGGATGGGAGGAGGGGAGACTGGATGGTTTTAGTGTTTAGAAGGGGAATCCCCTTCCATTAGGACTTGAGGTGTCAAGTCCTTTTCCGGGGTTGCTTCCCTTCTTCTTTTAATGCCACTAGGACCAGCTTCAGAGTCACTGGACTTCTGTCGCACAACATATCTGTCCATAGTGGCCTGTACCTCTCGTTTTTTTATGACTTTCCTAAAGTGTTTCACAAGAGTGTCAGTGTGATAGTCACCAGCACGGCTTGCAATAGCTGTCTGAGGGTGGTTTTCATCCATGAAGGTTTGCACTTCAAGCCACTTTGCACAGATTTCCTTAATCTTTGAAGTAGGCAACTTCTTCAATTTCTCTCTCCCCTCCTCTGAAGCAATTTCCTCAGGTGTGGCCTCTTGCTGTTGAAGTTGATCTAGCAGCTCATCAGTGGTTAGTTCTTCATTGTCCTCCTCCACCAACTCTTCCAATCCTCCCCACTCCTCCAACCCAAGGACTTCCCAATGCCACAATTGATTCCTCAACTGGCATAGGATTCTCAGGGTTAGCCTCAAATCTTAAAAATCCCTTTGGTCTACACTTTTGGCCACAGTTTCTTCCAAGCAAGTTCAAGGTCACTTTAGTCACTCCCTCCCAAACCTTACCTATAAGGTTTACACAATTGAGGATATTAAAGTGCCTCTCCAAAACTCTCTTAGTCAATTGAGTTTCTGAGGTCACTACAAAACAAACCCTTTTAAACAGAGCTTTTGTGTACAGTTTTTTTTAAGTTTGCAATAACCTGCTGGTCCATGGGCTGCAGGGAGGGTGGTATTTTGGAGGCAAAAACTTCACCTTAATGAAGCTCAGTCTCCACAAAGTTGCTCTGCCAAGTCTGTAGGATGACCAGGGGCATTGTCTAACACCAGGAGGCACTTAAGGTCTAATTTCTTTTCAGTTAGGTAATTTTTCACAGCAAATGCTTGGTGTAACCAGTCACAGAAAAAGTCCCTAGTGACCCATGCCTTATTGTTTGCCCTCCACAGCACACACAAATTAGCCTTGAGGATATTCTTTTGCCTGAACGCTCTGGGAGTTTGAGTGATACACTAATAAAGGCTTCACTTTGCAATCACCACTAGCATTGGCACACATGAGAAGAGTAAGCCTGTCTTTCATTGGCTTATGTCCTGGGAGTACCTTTTCCTCCTGAGTAATGTAGGTCCTGCTTTGCATTTTCTTCCAAAACAGGCCTGTTTCATCACAATTAAACACTTGTTCAGGTTTGTCCTTCACTGTCTATGTACTCCTTGAATTCATGCACATATTTTTCAGCTGCTTTTTGGTCCGAACTGGCAGCTTCACCATGCCTTATCACACTATGTATGCCACTACGCCTCTTAAATCTCTCAAACCAACCTTTGCTGGCCTTAAATTCACTCGCATCACAACTAGTTGCAGGCATTTTTCTAATTAAATCCTCATGCAACTTCCTAGCCTTTTCACTTATGGTCGCTTTTAGAAGTGCTATCGCCTGCTATCTGTTTTTCGTTTTTCCACCCCAAAAACAGTCTCTCAACATCTTCTATCACTTGCGATCTCTGTTTTTGAAAGCACAGTTAAACCTTTGGCAAGAACAGCTTCCTTGATTGCCGTTCTCTTTGGGGCACAATAGTAGCGATGGTTTGATTGGGGTTTACTATACAACCTGGCCAGCTCGGAGACAAAAGCACCCCCACTTCATTTCTTAGCAATGATCTCTTCTTCATCTCCATAGTAATTCTCACCCTTATTTCCTGTAGGGTTGGCACTAGAAGCTTTCTTGGGGCCCATGGTCACTTATTTTTCAGGTGAAATCACTATAAAAAGGCTGTAATAATACGAAATGTTCTGATTGTATGCTTGAATGTTACCGCGGAGGCTGGCTTGTAAACAATGCCACTGGCAGAACAAGTGAGGCTGGCTCCGGCCGCATGGACGCGTCTCGGACGAATTGCGTTGAGCGAATTTTCTAGCGCTATGCGAAGCAAAATTTTAGCGATAAAATGTATTGCTATGCGATGCCAACATTATGCAGGGGTCCACTGTACAGTGGACCCCCGCTTAACGATCACCTCCAAATGCGACCAATTATGTAAGTGTATTTATGTAAGTGCTTTTGTACGTGTATGTTTGGGGGTCTGAAATGGACTAATCTATTTCACAATATTCCTTATGGGAAAAAATTCGGTCAGTACTGGCACCTGAACATACTACTGGAATGAAAAAAGTTCGTTAACCGGGGGTCCACTGTATTTTGTTTATTCACTCGTATGCTGCACAATAACCTCACAAACATTGCTGTCATTATATTGTTTACAAAACATGTTTACAAAAACCAGTAATATATAAAATGTTGTTTATTACTATTTTTCTATATTTTATATACACACACAGTCACTGGACACATTTCTAGAAGTTCTGCAGCATGTGGAACTCTTTGAAACATGGTGTCATGCACAGTGGTGTTTTACACTTCTCGCACATGAAGAGTGTCTGCATTGTTGTAGGCGTTTTTTTGTACATGCACAGACATAATGCCTCTTTTGAGCCTTTTTCTTGAAAGCAGTAGCAGGTGATCAGGCCTCAGATGAGAGGGTAGCTGTTGATAATTTCGTGGGCAGTGTTCTATTGCAGGTATTGTTTCTTGGTACGTGAATATTATTTGTCTGATGACAAAATTTGCCATGTGGTGTTTTTTTTCTGGTCTTCATCTTGTACATATTATAAGCATTGAGCATGGAAATGTCCAGAAGATGGAGTACAAGTTTTATGTACCACTTATAACTCTTGTGAACACAGTCGGCAAACCAAATCTGCATGTCACATTTGTCCACTGAATGCATATTCAGGGTGTAGTCCATCACAGCTGCAGGTTTTAGAATGGGTTCATTGGTCTCTATTCTGCCTGCTAGTGCCTTGTCATTTCATTTCGGTGAACTGATGAGTATATCATCTCATTTGTCATGCCTCCGAAATGCCATGTCATTGGCAGCAAACGCCTGCACCTCGCCTCTAGGAGTGCCTACGTCAAACCTAGGCATATGCTTTGATTTGCACGCACTGTACCGCACACATCTTTCATGTTTACTCTCAAAAAATCACTGGGTTAGGCGCTTGTGTACCAGTTATTAGTATATAATATATGCCCCTTACCAAGATATGGTTCCATCACTGTTCTAACCACATCACCAGATACCCAATAACTTACTAGTATCTTGCAGTGTACACAGTAATATCCAATACAAGACCACTGTAGCAATCACAAAGTACAAACAACTTTATAACCAAAGTGTTTCCTCTTGCTTGGAATATACTGCTCAAACGACAGTCTACCTTTGAACAATATATGGACTTAAGTAAGGCTTTCGATAGTTCCACATCAAAGGCTTTTGAGGAAACTTAAGACACAAGGAATAGGAGAAATTTTTTCCTGGGTAGAGGCATGGCTGACAAATAGGCAGCAGAGAGTTTGCATAAATGGGGAGAAATCAGAATGGGGGCACATCACAAGCGGTGTTCTGCAGGGGTCAGTGTTGGGCCCGTTGTTCACAATTTACATAAACGATATAGATGAGGGAATAAATAGCGACATAAGCAAATTTGCTGATGACACCAAAATAGACTGGCCAATTCATTCTAGTGAGGACACTAGAGCACTCCAGGATGATTTGAATAGACTGATGCAATGGTCGGAGAAGTGGCAGATGCAGTTTAATTTAGACAAATGCAAAGTTCTAAATGTTGGACAGGAAAATAACCATGCCACATATAAACTAAATAATGTATATCTTAATACTGCTGATTGCGAAAAGGAAATAGGAGTTCTGGTTAGCAGTAATCTAAAACCAAGACAACAGTGCATTAGTGTTTGCAATAAAGCTAACAGAATACTTGATTTTATATCTAGAAGTATAAATAATAGAAGTCCTCAGGTTGTTCTTCAACTCTATATAGATTATGCTGCACAGTTCTGGTCACTGTATTACAGAATGGATATAAATGCACTGGAAAACATACAGAGGAGGATGACAAAGTTGATGCCATATATCAGAAATCTTCCCTATGAGGATAGACCGAGGGCCTTGAATCTGCACTCTCTCGAAAGGCGTAGAATTAGGGGGGATATGAGTGAGGTGTATAAATGGAAAACGGGAATAAATAAAGGGGATGTAAATAGCGTGCTTAAAATTTCAAGCCAAGGTAGGACTTGCAGCAATGGTTTCAAGTTGGAGAAATTCAGATTCAGGAAAGATATAGGAAAGCACTGGTTTGATAATAGAATTGTGGACGAGTGGAACAAACTCCCGAGTACAGTTATAGTGTAGTTCTAAAAATAGGTTTGATAAATACACGAGTGGGTGTGGGTGGGTGTGAGTTGCTCCTTCCTTAAGTGGAAGTGACCTGACTAGGTGGGTCATTGGGCTAATCTGGGGGGGGGGACATGGACCTGCTTCGCATGGGTCAGTAGGCCTATGGCAGTGTTCCTTCTTTCTTATGTTCTGTCAGGCCTGGTTTTGTCTGAGAAGTGTAGCATATGTAATAGCACAAATCGATTCACTGGTATTATGTCATTGAAACCTGGGGTTGCAATCAGGTGGTCTGTCAACCAGTATGATTTGACACTGCTTATATACATATGGCATAAGCATTATTGTGGCAAAGAAAAGATGCATCTCAGCCACAGTTGTCTCTCTCCGCTGGTGTAGGCATGATTTTGGTGAAAGTATTGTTTGCCATGGTGTAATCGAAATGTGTTGCTTTCCTTGACGATTAGCATCAGCCGCGTGGGTATCAACATGGCCCACTGCTGGTGCCTCACGGCTGGCACCACTATAACACTACCATCTGATGCCGCATGCACATTTTCATCCCAGTTGCAACAATCGTCTTCATTTTCACTATCTGTTCCTGTTGTACGACCATAGGATGTACTCTGAGATGTACTCCTTACCCTTGGAACAGCATATGGCACACTACCAGAGCACATAGTGTCGTATTTACTGACGCTTCACTGGAGAATATTCCACTTCACTCTTGCTACTGGAGCTGTTTTCAAGAGCTTGGAGATCATATTCACTATCACTATCATCACCATTGCTCACATCTGAGTCCTAGACATGGGAAAATGAGAGTTTCCTCTTTTGTTTGGTACAACTGGACGTGAACAAGATGCCCCAGCACCAGAGGTGGAAAGTTGTAGGTCATCTGGGTTTTCCCTCGCTATTAGCGGTATTATGGTCATTAGTTTCAGTCACAAACTCCTCAAAACCTTGAAAGTCATCTTCACTGACACTTCCATCTGTTTGAACTGTCACTTGGGAACAAGTGTCCCAATTCGCCGAGGAGTGAAGAGTTTCTTACCACGAGGCATAGTAAAGAAGGCGTACTAAAATGGCATTCCCACAGTGCACCACTTGGTTCCCGATTTTTTTTTTCCTACTGTGCACACTGACCATGCAGACCCATTCTCGCGTGTAGGCCTACCAGCTTTTTCCCGCTTGATTTGAGGGCGCTAGAATTTACACGTACTAGTATGGCACCAACCCTGAAAAGGTTAATAAAATCGGGTATTACTCTAGGTAAATAGTATTTTATATAATACTTCTTAAAAGGACCCTATGGAAATAAGTCACCGACTTTTTTTTGGTTATCCTAGGTTCTCTACACATATGCTGCTATGTATGATTATCTATGTAACTGTATTTATGTATGCCTGAATAAACCTACTTAATTGCAGGTAGTGGTGTGTAACTTGTACCCATTTGTGAAAACTGTGAGCAAGGAAGATGTTACAGTGGAGGAGGCTGTGGAGAACATAGACATTGGGGGTGTTGCCCTCCTTAGAGCAGCTGCAAAGAACCATTCCCGTGTGACAGTGATCTGTGATCCCCTAGACTATGACAAAGTTCTTGAGGAGCTAAAAACTGGGGATACAGCCCCTGCCACAAGGTAGGGCAATTTAAAGAAAATTTACCTATGCTTCATACATTTTTCATGGACATTTCTTTAAATTGAGATTTTAAAGAAAAAATTCAGTTGTATTTTTATATGGAAACTAAACTAGAAACTGGAAAATTTTATACTCGAGTGTTGAATAAAGTAAATATAACTTCTGCAGTTTGCTTTACAAAAATGGTCAGAGGCTGGCTGAAACTAGAGTAAAATTGCTCACAATTAAGTTGTCCAAATCATTACTATGGGTGTTTTTTCTAAAAAAAGAAAGTGAAAGTGCACAGAAATCCTTATATTCTACAAAGTAAAGAATTAAAGAATCTAACATGCAAGATATTGATGCTACATTCTGTAATGCTTGAGCACTCTAATTCAGCTGTTACCTACAGACAACTTGACATCTACATAAAAGAACCTCAGCCAAGTAGACTCGCATGAACCCTCGTAACATTTTTATCTTTAGCACTGCTATAATGTAAGGTACCATATATACTATGTTATAGCTTGACTTCATGCATAACTGATCTTCCCAAAAGTTTCTCGCTGTTTTATGTCTTGTGTGAAAGTCTACATGGTTTTTGAGGGACAATAGAATTGATAACTAAAATTGTGTACTGGGTTTGTAGTTTGTTCTATGTGATAGCCTAATGGTTTCTCTTGTGTTTAGCCTAACGTGTACTCGCCTAATTCACCTAATTCGTGTAGTATAGATTAAAATATCTTTAATCGAGCTTGTGCATTAGTAGATATATCCAGTAAGGCGAGTAGCTTGACTTCAGTGCAAATATACAGACATATATTTGAATTAGAGGAGCACTGCAGTAGGTGGCTTAATGCCTAGTGCTAGGTAGATCCTACTTATCCGAGTCATTCCCACACTTTGGTAACTCTAGTTAAGACAGTACATACTTAATTATACAAGGATAAAGGAACACTGCAATTGGCATACTGACCATACTAAACAGGTCCTACTCTCATTGGCCCATTCTCACTTGCATTGCCAAGTCAGTGTTTTTGTATATATAAATATGAAAATAGACTATATGCTCCAGCAGTTATTCGGTTGATATGCACCTCAGGAGATGTGCTCGGTATTATACTCGCCAAGATCCTTTTCCTTGAGTGAGGTTTGCAGTCTTTGACCTCCTAGCCTGTACTGTCTGCTAGTCCAGCTACTCTGCCTGGTAGCCTTGCTACTGTGGCTTTTGTCTTCTGCAGCAAGCTTGTTTCCCCATGCCATGCACGTTTTACCCTTGCCCAACCATTCCTAGTCTTGTATTTGTCCTCCACCCCCCCCCCTAAAAAAAAAATTAATTGTGGAGGGGGTAGAAGAGGCTTTGAGCTTTAGGGGCTTGAGCATCCAGCAGGCTTGTGCAAGCTTGGTAGATAGGAGGCAAGTGGTTTTTCAGTGACATGGTGTGAGCAGGGCAACTTTTATGAAGGGATTCAGGGAAACCAGTTAGCTGGACTTTAGTCCTTGAGGTAGGAAGAGCAGTGCTTGCACTCTGCATAATGGGTGAAGATGTTGCAGTTGGAGGGTAAATCTGGTAGAGATGTCAGCACACATCTAGAAAGATGGTGATTGAGTGACTGCCTTGGCAGGAGATGTTGGTTAAGTTGAAAATTCATCTCAATTGTGATGTTGACACTCTTCTGGCAAGCCAGCATAGATTGAATGAATGATGGTTAATTGGATCACTGCCTTGGCAAGATATGGCCATTTAGACTTAAAAAAAGTGTAGCAGTAGTAAAAGCATGGAATTAAATTTCCAAGGGATGTAGTAATTGAATTTAACTTCATCCTCCAGCACGTCTCAGATTATGGTGACATATACAGTACACTACTGAAATAACTTCTGAAGAAAGCACTGGATTAACAGAAAAGTTGCAGACTGGTAAAATAAGTTGTAAATTTTGGATGGGTACATCTGGGAATGATTAGGTGCAGTTGTATCTAAGCATGAGTCGGTAGGCGTATTGTGGTGCTCTTCTATTTATGTTTTGCACGAATTAAGACATTCATTTGGCAATAGTTGTAGATTGGAATGTGTGATTGCTGGCAGGACATCCCTAGCTTACCCATTAGACTTACTGCAGTGTTACTTGGTTTGTGTGTTTTTTCACTACTGTACAAGACTTAATTTTATAGAATGATTTCAACCATTAACAAATATACCAATGAATAAGTGAACCCTCCTACTTCCCCCCCCCCCCTTTCTCAAAAAAAAAAAACTACAACCTTGACCTATACTTATTTTTTTTTTTTTTTTTCAACAAGTCGGCCGTCTCCCACCGAGGCAGGGTGACCCAAAAAAAAAAAAAAGAAAATCCCCAAAAAGAAAATACTTTCATCATTATTCAACACTTTCACCACACTCGCATATTATCACTGTTTTTGCAGAGGTGCTCAGAATACAACAGTTTAGAAGCATACACATATAAAGATACACAACATATCCCTCCAAACTGCCAATATCCCAAACCCCTCCTTTAAAGTGCAGGCATTGTACTTCCCATTTCCAGGACTCAAGTCCGACTATATGAAAATAACCGGTTTCCCTGAATCCCTTCACTAAATATTACACTGCTCACACTCCAACAGATCGTCAGGTCCCAAGTACCATTCGTCTCCATTCACTCCTATCTAACACGCTCACGCACGCTTGCTGGAAGTCCAAGCCCCTTGCCCACAAAACCTCCTTTACCCCCTCTTTCCAACCCTTTCGAGGACGACCCCTACCCCGCCTTCCTTCCCCTATAGATTTATATGCTTTCCATGTCATTCTACTTTGATCCATTCTCTCTAAATGACCAAACCACCTCAACAACCCCTCTTCTGCCCTCTGACTAATGCTTTTATTAACTCCACACCTTTTCCTAATTTCCACACTCCGAATTTTTTGCATAATATTTACATCACACATTGCCCTTAAACAGGACATCTCCACTGCCTCCAACCGTCTCCTCGCTGCTGCATTTACCACCCAAGCTTCACACCCATATAAGAGTGTTCGTACTACTATACTTTCATACATTCCCTTCTTTGCCTCCATAGATAACGTTTTTTTGACTCCACATATACCTCAACGCACCACTCGCCTTTTTTTCCCTCATCAATTCTATGATTAACCTCATCCTTCATAAATCCATCCGCCGACACGTCAACTCCCAAGTATCTGAAAACATTCACTTCTTCCATACTCCTCCTCCCCAATTTGATATCCAATTTTTCTTTATCTAAATCATTTGACACCCTCATCACCTTACTCTTTTCTATGTTCACTTTCAACTTTCTACCTTTACACACATTCCCAAACTCATCCACTAACCTTTGCAATTTTTCTTTAGAATCTCCCATAAGCACAGTATCATCAGCAAAAAGTAACTGTGTCAATTCCCATTTTGAATTTGATTCCCCAAAATTTAATCCCACCCCTCTCCCGAACACCCTAGCATTTACTTCCTTTACAACCCCATCTATAAATATATTAAACAACCATGGTGACATTACACATCCCTGTCTAAGACCTACTTTTACCGGAAGTAGTCTCCCTCTCTTCTACACACCCTAACCTGAGCCTCACTATCCTCATAAAAACTCTTTACAGCATTTAATAACTTACCACCTATTCCATATACTTGCAACATCTGCCACATGCTCCTCTATCCACTCTATCATATGCCTTTTCTAAATCCATAAATGCAATAAAAACTTACCTTCCTTTATCTAAATACTGTTCACATATATGCTTCAATGTAAACGCTTGATCTACACATCCCCTACCCACTCTGAAACCTCCTTGCTCATCCGCAATCCTACATTCTGTCTTACCTCTAATTCTTTCAATTATAACCCTACCGTACACTTTTCCTGGTATACTCAGTAAACTTATTCCTCTATAATTTTTACAGTCTCTTTTTTCCCCTTTCCCTGTATATAAAGGGACTATACATGCTCTCTGCCAATCCCTAGGTACCTTCCCCTCTTTCATACATATATTAAACAAAAGTACCAACCACTCCAACACTATATCCCCCCCTGCTTTTAACATTCTGTCATGATCCCATCAGTTCCAGCTGCTTTACCCCCCTTTAATTTTACGTAATGCCTCACGTACCTCCCCCCACACTTACATTCTGCTCTTCTTCACTCCTAAAAGATGGTATACCTCCCTGACCAGTGCATGAAATTACCGCCTCCCTTTCTTCCTCTACATTTAAAAGTTCCTCAAAATATTTTCGCCATCTACCTAATACCTCCCTCTCCCCATCTGCTAACTCCCCTACTCTGCTTTTAACTGACAAATCCATACTTTCCCTAGGCTTTCTTAACTTGTTTAACTCACTCCAAAATTTTTTCTTATTTTCATTAAAATTTCTTGACAGTGCCTCTCCCACTCTATCATTTGCTCTCCTTTTTTACTCTCTCACCACTCTCCTCACCTTTCTTTTACTCTCCATATACTCTGCTCTTATAACACTTCTGCTTTGTAAAAACTCTCATAAGCTACCTTTTTCTCTTTTATCACACCCTTTACTTCATCATTCCACCAATCACTCCTCTTTCCTCCTGCCCCCACCCTCCTATAACCACAAACTTCTGCCCCACATTCTAATACTGCATTTTTAAAACTATTCCAACCCTCTTCAACCCCCCCACTACTCATCTTTGCACTAGCCCACCTTTCTGCCAATAGTCGCTTATATTTCACCCGAACTTCCTCCTCCCTTAGTTTATACACTTTCACCTCCCACTTACTTGTTGTTGCCACCTTCCTCTTTTCCCATCTACCTCTTACTCTAACTGTAGCTACAACTAAATAATGATCCGATATATCAGTTGCCCCTCTATAAACATGTAGATCCTGGAGCCTACCCATCAACCTTTTATCCACCAATACATAATCTAATAAACTACTTTCATTACGTGCTACATCATACCTTGTATATTTATTTATCCTCTTTTTCATAAAATATGTATTACTTGTTACCAAATTTCTTTCTACACATAGCTCAATTAAGGCTCCCCTTTAACATTTTCCCCTGGCACCCCCAAATTTACCTTACTACTCCCTCCATAACATTTTTACCCACTTTAGCATTGAAATCCCACCACCATTAACTCTCACACTTGATTCAAAACTTCCCACGCATTCACACAAATTTCCACAAATCTCTCTCTCTCCTCTACACTTCTCTCTTCTCCAGGTGCATACACGCTTATTATAACCCACTTTTCACATCCAATCTTTATTTTACTCCACATAATCCTTGAATTAATACATTTATAGTTCCTCTTTTCCTGCCATAGCTTATCCTTCAACATTATTGCTACTCCTTCTTTAGCTCTAACTCTATTTGAAACCTCTGACCTAATCCCATTTATTCCTCTCCACTGAAACTCTCCCACCCCCTTCAGCTTTGTTTCACTTAATTGAGATTATTGAGATTATTTCTGATCGCTGTATAACAAAGTACACTATAATCAGAAAACTCGGAGGTTGCACAGCATTTTGAGCAAAACCTATTTTAGATGTAAAAATTAGTTTTGTTTACTATATTTGAGTATAATACATGGTATTAACATGTTGAAATGGAATCAGGATACAGCATTATGTATAAAAACTACAGATGAAAAAATTAATTAAAATCGGTAAGTGGAACTAATTTATGACCTGGCAATAAAATTTAATGCAATAGACATTATCTGTAGACTTTCAGCATACATGAATTTTAGTTAAATACAATGATCATATGAAATTCTCAGTAAAGTAGCTGAGTCTGAATGAAGGGTTTAAATGTGTGGCACAATATATGGTGATAGCAAAAGGAAGTACAGTAAAACAAAAATTGGCAAACAAAATTTGGCTGACAAATAGGCAGCAGAGAGTTTGCATAAATGGGGAGAAATCAGAATGGGGGCACATCACAAGTGGTGTTCCGCAGGGGTCAGCGTTGGGCCCTTTGTTGCTCACAATTTACACAAACGACATAGATGAAGGAACAAATAACGACATAAGCAAATTTGCTGATGACACCAAAATAGGCCGTCCAATTCATTCTAATGAGGACACTAGAGCACTCCAGGATGATTTGAATAGACTGATGCAATGGTCGGAGAAGTGGCAGATGCAGTTTAATTTAGACAAATGCAAAGTTCTAAATGTTGGACAGGAAAATAACCATGCCACATATAAACTAAATAATGTAGATCTTAATACTACTGATTGCAAAAAAGGATTTAGTTCTGGTTATCAGTAATTTAAAACCAAGACAACAGTGCATTAGTGTTTGCAATAAAGGTAACAGAATCCTTGGCTTTATATCTAGAAGTATAAATAATACAAGTCCTCGGGTTGTTCTTCAACAACATATTCTTGGTTAGGCCTCCTTTAGATTATGCTGCACAGTATTACAGAATGGATATAAATGCACTGGAAAATGTACAGAGGAGGATGACAAAGTTGATCCCGTGTATCAGAAATCTTCCCTATTAGGATAAACTGAAGGACCTGAATCTGCACTCTCTCGAAAGGCGTAGAATTAGGGGGGATATGATCGAGGTGTATAAATGGAAAATGGGAATAAATAAAGGGATGTAAATAGCGTGCTGAAAATTTCCAGCCAAGACAGGACTTGCAGCAATGGTTCCAAGTTGGAAAAATTCAGATTCAGGAAGGATATAGGAAAGCACTGGTTTGGTAATAGAGTTGTGGATGAGTGGAACAAACTCCCAAGTACAGTTATAGAGGCTAAAATGTTGTGTAGTTTTAAAAATAAGTTAGATAAATACACGAGTGGGTGTGGGTGGGTGGGTATGAGTTGGACCTGACTAAATTGTGCTACTAGGTCTGATGCCTTGCTCTTTCCTTAAGTGGAAGTGACCTGACTAGGTAGGTCATTGGGATAATCCCAGGAAGGGGGGGATGGACCTGCTTCACATAGGTCAGTAGGCCTGTTGCAGTATTCCTTCTTATGTTCTTAAATTCAGAAATATCTGAAACTTAACTTATATTTTCCCTGCGTGTTTTTTCACTACATGGGATACAATTTTGCATTACGAGCCACGTTTCAGGAACATAACCCATAAACATAACTTGATTCTAAGTTAACTATAGACAACTTGATTGATCAGACTTAAAGCTTTAACAAAGAAAATTATTATTGGACCCTGCACATTTGGAGAAAATCATTCAAAGAGCAGATTAGATAGATTTGCTGGATAAAATCCACTTTTGGTGATGTACACGTTTTAACCTAGTTTCTGAACTTTCAGGCTCTGTGGAATTGCTGTATGTTTGTAGTATTTTGAGTTTAAATAAACTTTTTAGGAAAGAATTGGCACTGAAGGCTTTCACCCACACTGCCCAGTATGATGACCACATCAGTGACTACTTCAGGAAGACTTACTCTGCAGGCGTTTCCCAATTGCCTTTACGCTATGGCATGAATCCTCACCAGAAGCCTGCTCAGGTCTTCACTCGGGCTTCTAAGCTTCCTTTAACTGGTAAATTATTAACTGTTTAATCAAGAATATTTTTGCAATACTAAATTAGTGTATCTGTACATATTTTAGGAGGTTAGATGGTGAATTGTTTGGTCCCAAAATTTAAGATAGTTTGAGAAAAAGTTATAGTACAGGTACAACATCGATTTTTCGACACTGGTGGTCCAGAAACTCTTACAATCCATACAAATTTACAAGCAGGAAGTTGAAATTCCCACGTCAGTGTATTTACCACACAACTGTGTTGCTCGTCCAACCCCAAGACCAAGGCATACTGCGCTTCTCTAAAGACAGAAAACTCGGTAATCCGGAAAGGCTTTGGAACCAAAGGGTCCAGAAAATTGATGTTGTACCTGTACATGCTTTTGGTAGCAGTATATAATTGTTCATTCTTTCTCCATGGCAGTTGTGAATGGATCCCCTGGCTTCATCAACCTATGTGATGCACTCAATGCCTGGCAGTTGGTCCGTGAGCTCCGTACTGCTCTGAGTCTGCCTGCTGCTGCTTCATTTAAACATGTTTCTCCTGCTGGAGCTGCTGTGGCTGTTCCTCTAGATGAGACAGAGGCAAGTTCATAAGGTTATTCAAATGTGTTTTTGTATACCGCTGAAGTATGTAGAAACTGAGATGGAAAATTTACTTTATTTTCCATCTAAAAGACTTGTCATTGGAAAAAAAAACACTTTGTGCAATATATGTACTCTATTGGAATCCCAAAGGCATTACATTACTACTGAGGACATCAGATTGAAGGAGTGGCAGTGAGGAAATGAGTGATATAGTTTCTTGTAAACGCTTTACTACTGCACTCTTGCATATAGATAATAAAGTGCAATAGAACCCTGGATTTCAGCCGTAATCCATTCCAGGTTGGCCTAAATCCGAAAAGGTCAAAAACCGAAGTAATATTTCCCATAAGAATTAATGTAAATACAATTAATCTGTTCCACTCAAAAATATTAACAAAAAATACATTTTTTAAAGATTAACTATAGTTTTACATACACAAAACAAAAAGCAATATAAAGCAATAATTTTACTAATAAATAAACATTACGTACCTTTATTGAAGACTCTTGTTGGCGTATTGAAGGTGAGGAGGGGAGAGAGAGGAGAGCTTATTGTTTGGAGGGGGAATCCCCTTCCATAAGTACTTTATACCCAAAGTCCCTCTCTGGGGTTACCTCCTTTCTTTGTTGTTTACTAGCACTAGGACCAGCTTGAGTCTCTGCACCCCTGTTGCACAAAAAACTGTCCAGAGAGGTCTGTTTCTGGCATTTCTTTAAGATTTGCCTGAAGTGGGATGTGGTTTTGTCACTGAACATGTTGCAGATCTGGCTTGTTTCAGCATGGTCAGGGTGATATTTCTTCACAAAACTTTGCACCTCCTTCCACTTTGCACAAATGTCCTTAATCACTGAAGAAGGCACATTCTTCCCTCTCTTCCTCCTCTCCTCCTCTAAAGCAGTTTCCTCAGCTGTGGTCTGTTGCAGCTGCAGCTGAAGGTCTTGCAGCTCTTCAGTGGTTACCTCTTCGCTGTGGTCCACCAATTCTTCCACATCCTCGCCACTCGCCTCCAACCCCATGGACTTCCCCAAAGCCACAATAGATTCCACAACAGGCAGAGGGTCAACAGGGTCAGGGTCAGCCTCAAACCCTTCAAAATCCTTCTCTTGGACACGTTCTGACCACAATTTTCTTCAAGCAGAGTTCAGAGTCCTGGAAGTCACTCCCTATGGAGGGTATTGAAGTAATTCCTCCAGAACTCTTAGGGTCAAGTCAGTGTCCGAGGTCACTTCAAAGCACCTTTGAAGTTTTTTGAAGTTAGAAATGACCTGCTGGTCCATGGGCTGGATGAAAGGAGTAGTGTTAGGAGGCAAGAACTACAATGTTATAAAACAACTCCATAGACAATTGATCTACGAAATTTGGAGGATGAGCAAAAGTATTGTCCAGTACCAGGAGGCACTTGAGTGGCAATTTATTTTTCTGGAGGTATTTTTTTCACTCGGGCCAAACCCTTCATGCCTTGTGACCCATGCCTTATTAGCTTTCCACAACACACAATTTACTTTTGATGACATTCTTTTTCTTGAACTCTCTGGGATTTTTAGTAATACACGAGTAAAGACTTCACTTTGAAATCCTCACTTTTGTTACCACAGAACAAAAAAGTAAGCCTATACTTCATAGGCTTGTGTCCTGGCAGTGCCTTTTCCTCCTGCGTGATGTAGGTTCTCTGGCATTTACTCCCAAAAGAGGCCTGTTTTGTCACAACACTTGTTTGGGGAGGAATCCTTCATCCTCTACTTAATCCTTGAATTCATGCACAAATTCTTCGACTGCACGTTTGTTTGAACTTGCAGCCTCACCATGCCTTGCAATATTGTGTATACCACTACGCTTCTTGAATCCAACCAGCCTCTGCTGTCCTTAAACTCACTAACAGCAGCACTGTTCCAGGCATTTTCTTTACGAGATCCACATGCAGCTGCGTTACCTTTTTACAAATGATTGACTCCACAACATTATCTCCCTCTAATTGTTCATCATTGATCCACACCAACAATAACTTCTCCATATCTTCGATTATTGATGATATTTGTTTTGTTAGCATACAGTGGACCCCCGACATTCGATGCATTTTAATGCAAAAATTTTGCCTTGACATTCGATGGAAAACCTAAAATTCGATACGATTCGTACGAGACGTGTCCACGTGTGGCCTGAACTGCACCATGTGTGCCGGTGTTTACAAGCCAGCCAGTGTGCACGCATCTAAGGATACATTCGGCACATTCCATATTATCCATATTATCACTGTTTTTGGTGCTTTTTTCTGCAAAATAAGTCACCATGGGCCCCAAGAAAGCTTCTAGTGCCAACCCAGTGGTAAAAAGGGTGAGAATTAGTATGGAAATTAAGAAAGATTTTGAAGGGTTTGGGGCTAACCCTGAGAAGCCTATGCCAGTTGTAGACTCCATTGTGCCTACTTCAAAAATTAAGGAAATGTGTGCAAAGTGGGTTGAACTGCAAACCTTTATGGATGAAAATCACCCTAACACAGCTATTGCAAGCCGTGCTGGTGACTATTACAATGACAATGTTATGGCCCATTTTAGACAAAACTTAAAGGAACGGCGACAGAGGTCCAGTGACTCTCAAGCTAGTCCTAGTGGCATTAAAAGAAGGGAAGTAACCCCGGAAAAGGACTTGCTACCTCAAGTCCTAATGGAAGGGGATTCCCCTTCTAAACAATAACAACTTCGACACACTCCCCTCCTCCCATCCCATCAATCATCACCAGATCTTCATTAAAGGTAGGTGTCAATTATTCTATTGTTATTATTCTATTGTTGTTATTGTAATTATTCTATTGCATTAAACTTAATATTTCATGTGGTAAAATTTTTTTTTTTCGTATTTTTGGGTGTCTTTCACAGATTAATTTGATTTCTATTATTTCTTATGGGGAAAATTAATTCGACTTTCGATATTTTCGACATTCGATAGTTCTCAGGAACGGATTAGTATCGAATGTCGAGGGTCCACTATATTTACCCCTTTTGCAATATTTGCTTCCTTGATTTCTACTTTCTTTGCCAAGATGGAAGTGATTATTGATTTGTATTTCCCATACATCCTAGCAAGCTCCAAGATACTAACACCACTCTCGTACTTTGCTATACTTTCTTGAATTCTTTTTTCTTTCTTTACCAAAGGGCTGGCACTAGGAACTTTCTTTGGGCCCATGGTGGCTTATTTTGCAGTTGCACTTGATAAATAACCACAAAAAACAATGGAATAAAATGAAATGTTTGGATGAATGAGTGGAGCCTTGCTCTCACCCAGAGACAGCCAAATTGACTCGAACGCGAGGGAATGGTGGGCAGACACATCCAATATGGCCGATTTCAGCCACCGTCTAAAATCCAGGAAAGAATTTCGGCCAAAAAAAAAGCGGCCAAAATCTGAATCGGGTGCTATCTGGGGGTTATACTGTAGTTATACATATATAGGTAGTAGGTTGGTAGACAGCAACCACCCAAGGAGGTACTACCGTCCTGCCAAGTGAGTGTAAAATGAAAGCCTGTAATTGTTTTACATGATGGTAGGATTGCTGGTGTCTTTTGTCTGTCTCATAAATATGCAAGATTACAGGTATGTCTTGCTACTTCTAATTACACTTAGGTCACACTACACATACATGTACACGTTTATTTATATACACTCATCTGAGTTTTCTTTGATTTTATCTTAATAGTTCTTGGTCTTACTACTTTTCCTTTTATATCCATGGGGAAGTGGAATAAGAATCTTTCCTCCGTAAGCCATGCGTGTTGTAAAAGTCAACTAAAATGCCGGGAACAATGGGCTAGTAACCCCTTTTCCTGTAAAGATTACTAAAAAGAATAAGAAGAAGAAAATTGTCAAAGTGGGAAGTCTGAATGTGTGTGGATGTTGTGCAAATGATAAGAAAGAGATGATTGTGGATGTTATGAATGAGAAGAAACTGGATGTCCTGGCTTTAAGTGAAACAAAGCTGAAGGGGGTGGGAGAGTTTCAATGGAGAGGAATAAATGGGATTAGGTCAGGGGTTTCAAATAGTTAGAGCTAAAGAAGGAGTAGCAATAATGTTGAAGGATAAGCTATGGCAGGAAAAGAGGGACTACAATGTATAAATTCAAGGATTATGTGGAGTAAAATAAAGATTGGATGTGAAAAGTGGGTTATAGTAAGTGTGTATGCACCTGGAGAAGAGAGAAGTGTAGAGGAGAGAGAGAGATTCTGGGAAATGTTGAGTGAATGCGTGGGGAGTTTTGAATCAAGTGTGAGAGTAATGGTGGTTGGGGATTTCATTGCTAAAGTGGGTAAAAATGTTATGGAGGGAGTAGTAGGTAAATTTGGGGTGCCAGGGGTAAATGTAAATGGGGAGCCTTTAATTGAGCTATGTGTAGAAAGAAATTTGGTAATAAGTAATACATATTTTATGAAAAAGAGGATAAATATACAAGGTATGATGTAGCACGTAATGAAAGTAGTTTGTTAGATTATGTATTGGTGGATAAAAGGTTGATGGGTAGGCTCAAGGATGTACATGTTTATTGAGGGGCAACTGATATATCGGATCATTATTTAGTTGTAGCTACAGTTAGAGTAAGAGGCAGATGGGAAAAGAGGAAGGTGGCAACAACAAGTAAGAGGAAGGTGAAAGTGTATAAACTAAGGGAGGAGGAAGTTCGGGCGAGATATAAGCGACTATTGGCAGAAAGGTGGGCTAGTGCAAAGATGAGTAGTGGGGGGGTTGAAGAGGGTTGGAATAGTTTTAAAAATGCAGTATTAGAATGTGGGGCAGAAGTTTGTGGTTATAGGAGGGTGGGGGCAGGAGGAAAGAGGAGTGATTGGTGGAATGATGAAGTAAAGGGTGTGATAAAAGAGAAAAAGGTAGCTTACGAGAGGTTTTTATAAAGCAGAAGTGTTATAAGAAGAGCAGAGTATATGGAGAGTAAAAGAAAGGTGAAGAGAGTGGTGAGAGAGTGCAGAAGGAGAGCAAATGATAGAGTGGGAGAGGCACTGTCAAGAAATTTTAATGAAAATAAGAAAAAATTTTGGAGTGAGTTAAACAAGTTAAGAAAGCCTAGGGAAAGTATGGATTTGTCAGTTAAAAACAGAGTAGGGGAGTTAGTAGATGGGGAGAGGGAGGTATTAGGTAGATGGCGAGAATATTTTGAGGAACTTTTAAATGTAGAGGAAGAAAGGGAGGCGGTAATTTCATGCACTGGTCAGGGAGGTATACCATCTTTTAGGAGTGAAGAAGAGCAGAATGTAAGTATGGTGGAGGTACGTGAGGCATTACATAGAATGAAAGGGGGTAAAGCAGCTGGAACTGATGGGATCATGACAGAAATGTTAAAAGCAGGGGGCGATATAGTGTTGGAGTGGTTGGTACTTTTGTTTAATAAATGTATGAAAGAGGGGAAGGTACCTAGGGATTGGCGGAGAGCATGTATAGTCCCTTTATATAAAGGGAAAGGGGACAAAAGAGACTGTAAAAATTATAGAGGAATAAGTTTACTGAGTATACCAGGAAAAGTATACGGTAGGGTTATAATTGAAAGAATTAGAGGTATGTAGAAGAGAGGGAGAATACTTCCCGGTAAAAGTAGGTCTTAGACAGGGATGTGTAATGTCACCATGGTTGTTTAATATATTTATAGATGGGGTTGTAAAAGAAGTACAGTAAATGCTAGGGTGTTCGGGAGAGGGGTGGGATTAAATTATGGGGAATCAAATTCAAAATGGGAAGTGACAGTTACTTTTTGCTGATGATACTGTGCTTATGGGAGATTCTAAAGAAAAATTGCAAAGGTTAGTGGATGAGTTTGAGAATGTGTGTAAAGGTAGAAAGTTGAAAGTGAACATAGAAAAGAGTAAGGTGATGAGGGTGTCAAATGATTTACATAAAGAAAAATTGGATATCAAATTGGGGAGGAGGAGTATGGAAGAAGTGAATGTTTTCAGATACTTGGGAGTTGACGTGTCGGCGGATGGATTTATGAAGGATGAGGGTAATCATAGAATTGATGAGGGAAAAAAGGTGAGTGGTGCGTTGAGGTATATGTGGAGTCAAAAAACGTTATCTGTGGAGGCAAAGATGGGAATGTATGAAAGTATAGTAGTACCAACACTCTTATATGGATGTGAAGCTTGGGTGGTAAATGCAGCAGCGAGGAGACGGTTGGAGGCAGTGGAGATGTCCTGTCTAAGGGCAATGTGTGGTGTAAATATTATGCAGAAAATTCGGAGCGTGGAAATTAGGAGAAGGTGTGGAGTTAATAAAAGCATTAGTCAGAGGGCAGAAGAGGGGTTGTTGAGGTGGTTTGGTCATTTAGAGAGAATGGATCAAAGTAGAATGACATGGAAAGCATATAAATCTATAGGGGAAGGAAAGAGGGGTAGGGGTCGTCCTCGAAAGGGTTGGAAAGAGGGGGTAAAGGAGGTTTTGTGAGCGAGGGGCTTGGACTTCCAGCAAGCGTGCATGAGCGTGTTAGGAGTGAATGGAGACGAATGATACTTGGGACCTGACGATCTGTTGGAGTGTGAGCAGCGTAATATTTAGTGAAAGGATTCAGGGAAACCGGTTATTTTCATATAGTCCGACTTGAGTCCTGGAAATGGGAAGTACAATGCCTGCACTTTAAAGGAGGGGTTTGGGATATTGGCAGTTTGGAGGGATATGTTGTGTATCTTTATACGTATATGCTTCTAAGCTGTTGTATTCTGAGCACCTCTGCAAAAGCAGCGATAATGTGCGAGTGTGGTGAAAGTGTTGAATGATGATGAAAGTATTTTCTTTTTGGGGATTTTCTTTCTTTTTTGGGTCACCCTGCCTCGGTGGGAGACGACCGACTTGTTAAAAAAAAAAAAAAAAAAAAAAAATACATCACAGTCGGCACTGTTTACATGTAGGTGCCTCACTATTTTAATAATTATTTTTTTTTCACATTTTTGTGGTTTGCACTCAAGATAGGATGGTATCATTCATGGGCACATTTTTTATAAAAAAAAAATCACTTTATGGTTGATAATATATGGTACATATGGTGTAACAACAAAGAAATACTATTTCTGAAGGAATATGATGTTTGCATTGGCTCACACTGTACCATACAACAGTTCCTTAGTCATGTACATATTAGTTTTGTTCATGATGGTGTAGAAAAATCAAATTTACTCCATTTCATTGTTCTTTTCCTGTTGTTTAAAGGTTTTATTTATGAAAATCAATTGGTACAGCATAATGAAAGTGGATTTAAATTGAGATGAATTAAATGTCATAGTAAAATTTGAGGCATTCCTAGGTGGGCTCTTGCTGCAAAGTCGCATATCCCTGAGCAACACACAATGCTGGGCTCGTATGGATGTTGGGTCTTTGTATCCTTAATGCTTGGCATAGCATTACTAATGCAAAGCTGCCAAAGGCTGCTTTTATAGTTTTAAATTGGAGCCGTCCTTCCTTTGCAATATGTTTTTACAGACTTCAGTAGTTTAAGTAAATATTATATTCATTCAACCATGATTAACAGTTGGCATTATAATAAATAATTTCATACTTTATCACTGGTACAGATGAAGGTGTGCATGGTCGAGGATCTAGGAACCCTGACACCCTTAGCCACTGCTTACGCTCGAGCCAGAGGCGCTGACCGTATGTCATCTTTTGGAGATTTTGTTGCTTTATCGGATGAATGTGATGTAATTACAGCAAAGATTATCTCCAGGGAGGTAAGTAGTAGCATTGTTATAGTTCACAAGGTTTACTGCTTTCCCAGGTACTGCATTCTTTAATTTTGCTTGAAAATTGCAGGTTTCTGATGGTGTTGTGGCTCCTGGATACAGTGATGAAGCTTTAGAAGTCCTTAAGAAGAAGAAAGGTGGCAGCTATTGTATCTTGAAAGTGAGTAGCCCATATGTGTAATCTAAATGATAGTAGTAAAGCATGCTGTATTTCTTAATGCACAGATAGATATTTACTAATGGGGAAAAATGAGTTGACATACAATGACACTACCAAGGCTGATATGCAAGTCCTACTTTGCAGAGGTTGCATCAAAATTTAGTCAAAATATCCAGAACACTAACTGGCTTTGAGAATACCAATATGACTGCAGCCAGGATGGCCAAAATAATGCCTGCATAAAACAGGATGCACAGGGACAAATCATTAAGGTCTAAGTAGCCAAACTGATAGTTTGAGAGGATTTTCTCAGATGCAAACACTTGGAAGCAGCCAATTATAGCAGTTGCCAATACCATAAGACAGAAATCAGGAAGCTATAGTTTATCTAGAACCCTGGCCCAACTACTGGTACCCATGCCACAGGCAGGGATAGAACCCACAGTCAGTCATAAAACTCCAGACTAACGCGCTAGCCACTGGGCTAGCTGGCTACAAGTTTCGTCCAACTAGATATATTTATACATCATAAGAAAGTTAGCATAGGCACCACTGTGACCACAAATGCAAGTTTTTACAGACTAATTTCCCGCCAGCCTGGCCGTGACTATCTCTAGCTCAAGTCCCCTCAAAGCCGTCATTGTGACTCACGAAATCTGATCAGTGGTGTTCCCTGTATAGTCCTTGTGGCTTAGCGCTTCTTTTTTGATTATAATAATAATAATGATCAGTGGTGCCTGTGTATAAATATACCTAGTTGGACAAATCTTGTAACCAGCTGGCCCAGTGGCTAGCGCGTTGGTCTGGAGTTTGACTGATCACGGGTTCTACCCCTGCCCGTGGTATGGTTTGTTTGCAATACAGTGGACCCTCGACCAACGATGGCATCGACTAACGATAAAATTGGGCAACGATGCGTTTTTGCATAAAAATATTGGCTCGACCAACAATGAAAAACTCGGGTAAGGACATTCATCCCGAATGTGTCCGCCTGTCCGTCCAGCCTGAACGCCTCAGCTGCCCTGCTTCAGCTAGTGTACCATTGTTTACAAGCCAGGGCAGACGGTTTCATGTATACATGCAATATATTTTGTATTGTTCCATTGTTTTTAGTGCTTGTAACTGCTAAATAGGCCACCATGGGCCCAAAGAAAGCTTCTTGTGCCAACCCTGTGGTAAAAAGGGTGAGAAATACTATCATACCACGGTCAGCTGTTGCTGCACCACCATCAGCTGCTGCTGTACCACCGTCAACTGTACTACTCGAAGGTGTGGAGAGTGTTGTTGGTGTGGCTTAACGAGAAACAATTACAGAGAAACAATTAACCCTAGAGGGTTAGCCACCCAGGATAACCCAAGAAAGTCAGTGCATCATTGAGGACTGTCTGACTTACTTCCATTGGGGTCTTTAATCTTGTCCCCCAGGATGCGACCCACACCAATCGACTAACACCCAGGTGAACAGGAAAAAATGCCTGGAACTAGTGCTCATATTGATGAATTTAAGGCCAGCAAAGGTTGATTTGAGATATTTAAGAATCATAGTGGCATACACAGTGTGATAAGGCATGGCGAAGCTGAAAAATTCCAACCCCAACAAGTGTTCAATTGTGACAAAACAGGCCAGTTCTGGAAGAAAATGCCAAACAGGATCTACATTACTCAGGAGGAAAAGACACTCCCAGGACACAAGCCTATGAAAGACAGGCTATCTGGAGAGTTTATCTGGAGAGAGTTCCGGGGGTCAACGCCCCCGCGGCCCGATCTGTGACCAGGCCTCCTTAGGTCAGTGTCCCAGGATGCGACCCACACCAGTCGACTAACACCCAGGTACCCATTTTACTGATGGGGAACATAGACAACAGGTGGAAAGAAACACGTCCAATGTTTCTACTCTGGCTGGGAATCGAACCCAGGCCCTCACCGTGTGAAGCGAGAGCGTTAACCACCAGGCCACCAGAGCCATGTTTTGTTTTAATGCTAGTGGGGATTGCAAAGTGAAGCCTTTACTAGTGTATCACTCTGAAAATCCCAGAGTGTTCAAGAAAAAGTGTCTCATCACTCATCAATACTCTTCAATAAAGGCAAGTGTCATTTTAGTATTTATGTATTTATTGTGCATGTCTCATTTTCTTTGTAGGGAAATGTATATTTCATGTAAAAATTTTTTTTTTTTTTAATACTTTTGGCTGTCTGGAATGGATTAATTGGATTTCCATTATTTCTTATGGGGAAAATTAATTTGGCTAACGATAAATTCGGCTAAGGACAAGCTCTCTGAATGGATTAAAATCGTTGGTTGAGGGTCTACTGTAGTGTCATTATGATTTTGTGAGTCAGTACTGGTACCCAACAGTGACATCACCATTAGATGGTGCCATGCTACACCAGGAAGCCCTGCAAGAGCCTTCTAGCCCACTCAAGGCAGTGGGTAGAAGGCTGGAGGGTGTTGATAGTGTCTGAGGGTAATGTGTGGTGTAAATATGCAGAGAATTTGTAGTTTGGAGATTAGGAGGTGTGGAGTTACCAAAAGTATTATCCAGAGAGTTTAGGTGGCTTGGACACTTAAGGGGGGAGAATGGGATTATATTTTTTTTTTTTTGTTTTCAACCGATTTATTTTATTTTTGGTGTACTTTTAGAGGTGCATATATAGTTTAATGTGACAAAGTTTCAGTATGATTGGCCAACAAACAACATAGAAAAAAATATTAACATAATTTTGATATATGGCAGCATCCCCTGACAAATTGGCACTACGAGTGGCACTTCCGACATTCCCAACTGTTAGAATACAACTAGCACGAATCTTTTACGTTGCCATTTCATCTAATATATCTTATTATCATGGTAAAAAAAATACATTTGACAGAATTTTTGGCATTCACCAAAATATCTGCCTTTTACCCCCCACAAAATCAAAAATATTTGAGATATTCCAAAAAATCCATCGTTACAATTTAAAACACACTTTGTTTTATATTGTCTGTGAAAATCATTTCAATACAATCATTAATAATGGTTGAGGTCCGCGAAATAAGTGAATAAGTTACTTCCGAGATATAGGCCTAGAACGCCGGTAGGCCTACCGTCAAAAAAAAAATTTTCTTTTTTCGCGAAAATCGCGTTTGTTTCGGTGTATTTCTTAGTAAACTGATGTTCTAGTGCAGTTATCCTCTTCAAAACATCGTTTTCTCTCACTCACAGACCAAACAATACAACATGGAGACGAGGATAACTTTTTTATATCGAAATATTGCTGGTGGACTCTCGCTATATTATGGCCTATTTTATTCAGTCTAGAGTATATAACATGTTTGTTTGTTATTTACAGTGATTATTATATCATATTAGATCAATTCTGATAGATAAATAAGCCGTATAGTTAATATATAAGCTGATATAAGCGTAATAATGAAGTGATTTCACCTGGCACTCTCTGGAGAGGGATCACTGCCGAGTGTACCTAGGTGCTTCCCGATAGGCTAGACGTCTATTGATAAGCTCCAACTACTCTTATATGATGCCAAATAATCAATTATTATATTAGAAAAAATAATGCAAAGAAAAAGCAATAAAAAACAAGGAAAAAATTCCAAAAAATACATAGGTTGAGAACAGACGCGCTACCTACATCGCCGCCACCATACCTGATATAAATGACTATAATTTCTTGTAGAAACGTTGTAGAACATTGATTCTTGTACCATTGTGTTGCCAAAGAGTTAAGCTATTTTTCTATATGAATAACTCATTTTCATAAATTTTCGAATTTTTCTTGAGAGCGCTGAAAAAAATTTTCACACTTGCAGCCTTAAGAGGATGGAGTAAAATAGAATGACTTGGAGGGTGTATAAATCTAATATGGGGAAGGAAGGGTAAGAGTCACCCCAGGAAAAGTCGAAGGGATAAAATAGGGTATTGTATACGAGGGGCATGGACATTCAGTAGGCATGTGTGAGCATGTTTGGTAGGAGTGAGTGAAAGCAAGTGGAAGAAGGGATTCAGGGAAACTGGTTACTGGACTTGAGCAGGGGCATCGTAAGGGGGGGGGCTGCCCCGGGTGACACCATTTAGGGGGTGACACCATAATGTCTCTAAAGAAGGTAACACTAATGACCAAAACCATGCTGCAGCAACCCAAGAGAAAAATCCTTCGTTTCTATATAGCTTATTATAGGATTACAGAGAACAAATAGGCCTAGTGGCCCCCTCTGTAATTGGTATTTTATAACATGTAAACCACAAAATACCCAAAACCTATAAACCCCACATTGTAACCATTATAGAGAATAAACTTGAAATTGAATTGAATATATAGGGAAAATCACTGATTTTGATGATGTGATAATGATTTTGCAGGATTGAAGACAAGGAAATGAAATATCAGATTCTTTGAGATGTTACCTGTACTCTAGGTTAAATCGGAACTAGTGTTTTTATTTTTCAAGTTTTTTTTTTTTTTTTCTTTTTTTTTGCATTGTTGAAGATGAATTATTGTAGGATCTGTTGCCTACACTCAAAGTGGTATTTGAGTTTGTTTCCTCAATATTATTAAGATTATTTATTTTATCATTAATAAAGTTGTTTATAGCCTTTAAACATTCTCATTGCTAAACATTAGTCACTGGTCATGCAGCAGTGACATAACTGGAGTTTACCCTACCCCATCCCCCCACCCTTGAATTTCACGGGGTTGACACCAAAGATGCCATCCCAGGTGACCCCCAACCCTAGCGACACCTCTGGACTTGAGCCCTGGAGGTGGAAAGTACAGTGCCTGCATTCTGGAGGGGTGGAGATATTTGCAGTTTGGAGGGTCATTTGAACTGTAGTATTAGTGCACTGCTGCAGGACAGTGATCGAGTCGGTGAAAGTTTCTTCTTTTCTGGGTCACCCTACCTCAGTGGGAAACAGCCAGTGTTAAAAAAAATAAATACAGCCTCTCTTCACTTAACTACAGAGTTATGGGCCTAAGACCCTATCAGGTACATGAATTCATTGCTAATTGAGGAATCGCCCCTTACTAACACTTTCAAAAGTGTCACCACCCAAAATTACAACATTCAGTTTTATGCTTGCTGGGAAATTCCATTTCAATGTGTTTATTATTAATTGTAATACAACATGAAATAGGTCAGTCAGTGACTTCCGAGATATTCCAGGAAACAAGTGTATCTGATTACTTGGGAATTTTTTTTTCTTTTGACAAAATTGCACTTTTTTCAGTCTTTGCACAAGATAGTTATCTTCTATAGTTACCCTTCATGCATATAACGTTTTCTGTAATGGTCACTTCTTTTTTTTTATTATTTATCCTCCACTATATAATGTCAGTTTTCATTAATTTGGGCATCTTTATAATGCTTTTACATTATTTATATTTTACCTAATATTATTCTGGAATAAATGATAGGTAGATAACCTTTATTGATCGTAATAGTATAATTATGCAGTATTTTATAGTGCCAAGAGGCACACCTCTTAACGCAGCCGAGACGCTGCTCCTTCTCCCTCTGCTATAGCTCGGCCTACTTTGTAATGATGGCGAATTAAATAGTATATTAGAAAAAATAAAAAAAACTCCAACTTGACTTTAATTTGCATAACTCTTATATTATTATGCAGAAAATTCGGAGTGTGAAAATTAGGAGGTGTGGAGTTAATAAAAGTATTAGTCAGAGGGCTGAAGAGGGTTTGTTGAGGTGGTTTGGTCATTTAGAGAGAATGGATCAAAGTAGAATGACATGGAGAGCGTATAAATCTGTAAGGGAAGGAAGGCGGGGTAGGGGTCGTCCTCGAAAAGGTTGGAGGGAGGGGGTAAAGGTGTTGTTGGTGAGGGGTTTGGACTTCCAGCAAGCGTGCGTGAGAGTGTTAGATAGGAGTGAATGGAGGCAAATGGTATTTGGAACCTGACGATCTGTTGGAGTGTGAGCAGGGTAATATTTAGTGAAGGGATTCAGGGAAACCGGTTATTTTATATAACCGGACTTGAGTCCTGGAAATGGGAAGTACAATGCCTGCACTCTAAAGGAGGGGTTTGGGATATTGGCAGTTTGGAGAGATATATTGTGTATTTTTATACGTATATACATGTACGTACTTCTAAACTGTTGTATTCTGGGCACCTCTGCAAAAACAGTGATTATGTGTGAGTGAGGTGAAAGTGTTGAATGATGATGAAAGTATTTTCTTTTTGGGGATTTTCTTTCTCTTTGGGTCACCCTGCCTCGGTAGGAGATGGCCGACTTGTTGGAAAAAAAAAAACTCTTGTATATTACAGAAAACAAAAAGTAAAATACACGTACGAGTTAAACTTACAGAAAAATAGCTTACGACTCTGGCAACATTTTAATAAAAGTATCATCTTTGTACCATGTTTCTACAAAGAATGTCATTTTACAAAAATTATTTTTGACGCAGTGAGCAATATACATCTGACCATGTAGTGAATTTTCAGATTTTTTTTTTTTTTTTTTTTTTTTTTTTTTTTTTGCTAATACATTAAATTCGCCATCTAACATCATTATGAGGGGAGGAGCAAATAGAGGGAGAGATAGCAGTTAGCATTTTAGTCTGGTTAATCATCATGGTTGCGAATGTTAGCCGTGTGCTAATTAAAATGTTATGTAATTAACGCTAATATTAGAAAGGATTGATAGTTACTGAAATGGCTATATAAAACATGTTATGTGAAAGGGTCGAGAGGGAGGCTGCATTTGATAAATCATAAGATAGATAATTTTCTCATCTGACTCTGGCTTAATGAAAGAATCTTTTAACAAAGGGAAAAACCTAGATCAAATTCATAGAAACAATGCAAAAATACTTTATGTTTATTAGTTTAGTAATTAATAATTGGAAGCATTTACATACAGGTTATGGTAGTTGACATTTAAAGCACCAGGCTTTAGTATTTTTACGGAGTTTGACATCGCCATGCCTGTTCAGATTTTAATACTTTTTAAGCGTCACTAAAGCGAGAATGCAATAACACATGCACACACCAGCAACCCTTTATGGGGAACTTTGTACTTCTTCCATGTTCTCTTGTTTTTCCCTTCTGAAAATCTGAGAATTTTTACAAATATGAACCTACCATCAACATGACATGCTCGACTTACGACCACTTTCATTAACGAGCCTACTCATGAGTGTATGTACCGTGTTTTTTATGCAAATTTATGGGGAAATAAACAACTATTTGTGTTGTACTGGCCAGTGTTATCCAAACCTTAAAAGTAAAATAACAAAGTGATGTACTACACATAAAAAGTATGACAGTAAACATGAAATCCAAGAATTAAGAATGTAAATTTAGTATTCAAAAAGTAATTATATATACAAGTAGTAAAGTTTAACTAAACACATTCGAGTACGACCGTTTGGAAACGACTTGGTCGTAAGTCATGGTAGGTGAAGTCTTCGGAGACTGTGAAAGCTAGTGTACGAGTGGCTGTAGAAAGATAAGTGAAGCTGAGAACTCGCTGACCGTTCATGACAAGTAGTACTCCTACAGATACAAAACTTGTCCCGGCGTAACGAGTTGTCAAGTAATCTAGTAGTCAGTGTAGGCGACGCTGTAAATGAAAACTGGATCCATTTTGATATGAGAAAGGCTGGAGGCAGTAAAAAAATTCAAATGTCTGAGGCAAATGTTGTGGTGTGAATAAAAATGCAGGAATTCGTAGTTTGGAATTAGGAAGGTGCGGGATTACCAAACTGTTTTTCCAGAGGCTGAGGAAGGGTTGTTGAGGTGGTTCGGACATGTAGGAGAATGGAGCGAAGCGAATACTTCAAGATGTATGTCTGTATGGAAGGAAGGGGGGGGTAGGGGTCAGCCTAGGAAAGGTTGGGGGGGAGGGGGGAAAAGGGGGGTTTTTTGTGCGAGGGGGTTGGGCTTCCAGCAGGCATGATGAGGGGTGTTTGATAGGAGTGAAGGAGCAAAAGGTTTTTAATATTGATGCTGTTGGAGTGTGAGCAAAGTAACATTTATGAAGGGATTCAGGGGGAAAACCCGGAGGCCCGGGCTTGAGTCCCGGGGATGGGAAGTACAGTGCCTGCACTCTGAAGGAGGGGGGTTAATGTTTCAGTTTTTAAAATGTAGTGTAAAGCACCCTTCTGGCAAGACAGTGATGGAGGAATGATGGTGAAAGTTTTTTTTTCGGCCCCCCCTGCCCTTGGTGGGAAACGGCCGTTGATAATAAAAAAAAATAATTACATTTTTTCCAAATTGATATCGGAACACGTAAAAACCTAGAACTGTAATAAAAATGCTGAAATGGTAATTATGCCTGTTATGTGAATGGGGGAGAGAGGGGGGTGCTGCTCTGGGATAAAAATTAAGTAGAAAAGTTTTTTCATCTGTATCTCTGGTCATAAAGAAAAAAAGACTGTTTACATCAAGGGAAACTCCTAGATCACTTGTCATAAGAAACAATCAAAAATACCTTTTATTGTTTTATTATTTTAATTAAATTTATCTGGGGGATTCAACAGGTTTGGTATTGACATTTAAAGCAATCCCGAGCGATTATTATTTTTACGTTATTATATGCCCGCTGTTCATTTTAATAGCCTCTTAAGCGTCACGTACACCGAGAATGTAAACACACACATGCACACACCAGCTAACCCCTTTTACTGTGAACTTTGTACTTCTTCCATTTTCCTCTTGTTTTTCCTCTTCCAAGAGGAAAATCTGTGAATTTGTACAAATATGTACACCTACCATCCAACATACGACCTGCTCGACTTACGACCACTCGACTTACGACCACTCGACTTATGACCATGTTTTTTATGCCAAATTTCTGGGAAATAAACAACTATTTGTGTTGTACACCGTGTTTATCCTAAACCTTACAGTATAAAATAATACAGTACTAACAACATAAAAAGTAAAGTAAAACATGAAATACCAAAATAAAACAAAAAATAGTCATTACAAAAATGTTTTGTTGATATTCAGTAGTAAAGTTCAACTTACGACCATTTCGACTTACGACCGGTTTCTGGGAACCGAACTTGGTCGTAAGTCGGATGGTAGGTGTATCTTGGAGACTGTGAAAGCTAGTGTACCGAGTGGCTGTAGGAAGGAGATTAAGATGCCTGACGCTGAGACTCTGCGCTGCCCGTTCATGACCCAAGTAGTACTCCTACAGTATACAATAACTTGTCAGAGAGCCCGTCGTAACTCCGAGTTGTCAGTAATCTAGTACGTCAGTGAGGAGAGGCTGTAATTGAAAACTGATCCATTTTGATATGATAAAAGCTTAGGCAATAAGTAAAAAATTGAAAGGATAGTGTAAAGGGAAATAGACTAACTTATCTTGTCCTGGTAGATGGATGCTGAATATGAGGGAGATCTTCAGGAACGGCGCACAATCTTCGGCCTAACTCTGGAACAGAGGAGAAATGATGCACCAATTACCCCTGAAATCCTCAACAATGTTGTGTCTAAAAATAAGGAGGCAAGTAAATTAAAAAAAAAATTAATGTTAAATGCTTACTAATCACTTTAGACACTTTAATTTCCATAATTTTAGGAATATAGTTAGAAATTTAGTAAATGGTTTGATTTCTGTTTTCAGTTGAGTAAAGAGGCCATTTGTGATCTCCTTGTGGCAACCATTGCAGTAAAATACACACAATCAAACTCGGTCTGCTATGCCAAGTCTGGACAGGTTGTGGGAATTGGTGCAGGTCAACAGTCTCGAATACATTGCACTAGACTAGCAGGGGACAAAACTAATAACTGGTAAGAGTTTGACTTTGAATCTACATGGTTTTTCTTTAGTAACATCTCATTTTTTATGAAAAATTTTACCCTAAATTTGTGAGTTTCTTTCCTTTAGTGCATGAAATGCCTAATTTTTGCCCTCTATGTCTACCTATGACCTATGCTCAAAATACCCCTCATAAGTTACACTTCTGCCTTTGTCCTTCATCCCCTTTTGTGTGAGTGACTCCCACAGGTATTTTTGTATCGTTAATATGTTCATTTTTTCCTCTGCGTTTCTCCTTCCAATTTTTTTCCTTCCCAGGAAGCTAAACTGCTAAGAAACCTACTATTTTTGCTTAGTTTCTGGAGTACATAATTGATCCAGATTCCTCCTGATGTTTTTATTTAAATATATGTACTATGGTGGGTACACTACCTAGGAAATTTAGCTATAAAGGGTGATTAAAAGAGAAAAGGTAACTTATGAAGGTTTTTTACAAAGCAGAAGTTTAGAAGAAGAAGTAGAGTATATGGAAGTAAAAGAAGGTGAAGAGTGGTGAGAGAGTGCAAAGGAGAGTGGATGAAGTGGAGAGGATTGTCAAGAAATTTTAATGAAATAAGAAAAAATTTGGAGGAGAAAACAAGTTAAGAAAGCCAGGGAACGAATGGATTTGTCAGTTAAAAACCCGAGTAGGGAGTTAGTGATTGGGGAAAGGAGGTTTTTGGTAGATTTGGGGAGAATATTTTGGAAACTTTTAAAAGTCACAAAGAAAGGGAAGCGGTATTTTCATTGCACTGCCAGGAAAGGGTACCGTCTTTTAAGTGAAGAAGGCGGATGCGAGTGTGGGGGAGGTTGTCCGAGCTTGGTAGAATAAAGGGGTAAAGGAGCTGAAATGCTGGATCATGACAGAAAATTTTAAAAAAGGCTGAGAGTGTTTTGGGGTGGTTGGTATTTTGTTAATAAATGTATTGAAGAGGAGAAGGTACCTAGGGATTGGTGAACGTTATAGTCCTTTATATTTAAAGGGAAAGGGACAAAAGAAATTTTAAAAATTATAGGACAAATGTTTACTGAGTATACTAGGAAAAGTGTATGGTTGGTTTTTATTGAAAATTGGTTAGACAGAGTAGAATTTTTTGGGTGAGCAAGTAGGTTTTAAGGGTAGGGGATGTGTGGATCAAGTGTTTACATTTAAGCATATATGTTGAACAGTATTTAGAAAGTAGGGGAATTTTTAATTTCATTTATGGATTTAGAAAAGGCATATATAGTGTAGGGAGCGTGTGGCTGTTGCAAGTATATGGAATAGGTGGTAATTACTAATGCTGTAAGAGCTTTTATGAGGATAGTGAGCTAGGTTAGGGTTTTGTAAAGAGGGGAGGGTACTTCCCGGTAAAGTAGGTCTTTGACAGGGAGTATAAATTCACAATAGTTGTTTAATATTATTTATAGATGGGTTGTAAAAGACTAAATGCTAGGTGTTCAGGAGAGGGTTGGGATTAAATTAGGGGAATCAATACAAAATGGAGTTTACGTTACTTTTTGCTGATGTACTGTGCTTATGGGAGATTCTAAAGAAAATTGCCAAGGTTAGTGGACGAATTTTGAGTTGTGTGTGTGAAAAGGTAGAATTTTAAAAGTGAAATAGAAAAGGTAGTGATCGGTTTTCAAATGTTTTAGAAAGAAAAATTGGTTTTTAAAAATTGGGGGAGGGGAGTACGAAAGAAGTTAATGTTTTCAGATTTTGGGGTTGAAATTCGCGGTGGATTTATGAAGGATGGGTTTCATGATTGATGAAGGAAAACAGGGGGTTTGTGCTTGAGGTTATGTGGAGACAAAAAATGTTTCTATGGGGCAAAAAAGGGATTGTAAAAAGATAGTAGTACCAACACTCTTTAGGGGTTAAAAGTTGGGTTTTGTAAATGCTGCAGCGGGAGGGGGGAGGCGTGGAGATGCCCTTTCAAGGCAGTGTGTGTTAAAATATTATGCAAAAATTGGAGTGGGGAAATTTAGGAAGGGTGTGGAGTTAAAAAAAGTTTAGTCGAGGGCTAAGAGGGGTTGTTGAGGGGGTTTTGGGGTATTTAGAGGGGGATTGGATCAAAGAGAATGACAGGGGAGAGCGAAAAATTGTGGGGGAAAGGGAAGGGGGGAAAGGGTCATCCTCAAAAAAGGTTGGGGGGAGGGGGAAAGGAGGTTTGTGGGGGGGGTTTGGATTTCCCGCAGGCTGTGTGAGCATGTTAGATGGAGTGAATGGGGACGAATGGTTTTTTGGGAAAACTGACGATCTGTTGGAGTGTGAGCAGGGTAATATTTGGGGGATTCGGAAATGGGTTATTTTATGTTAGCCGGTTGAGTCCTGGAAAGGGAAAAGACATGCCTGCACCTAAAGGAGGGTTTTTGGGATTTGGAAGTTTGGAGGGATTTTTGTATTTTTTATCTACAGGGGGGGGCCCCCCCGACAATTCGTAAACCCGACATTCGAGCATTTTAACACAAAAAATTCTGCCTCGACTTTCGATCAAAAACCCGCTATTTTTGATACTTTTTTGAGACGTGTCCACGTGTGGTCGAACCCGCCCCAGTGTGCCACGTTTTAAAACCAACCGTGTCCGACCAAGGAAAAACTGGTACATTCCAATTATCCAATTTTCACTGTTTTTGGTGCTTGTTTCTGCAAAATAAGTCACCCTGGGCCCCAAAAAGCCTCTAGTGCCAACCTGTGGTAAAAGGATGAGAATTAGTATGGAAAAATTTAAAAAGGATTTTTAAGGGTTTTTGGGGGTAACCCCGAAAGCCCTTTCCTTTGTGGAACCCTTGTGCCACTTAAAAAATTTAAAGGGAAAGTTGCACATGGGTTGAACTGCAAACCTTTTGGATGAAAAACACCCTAACACGCTTAGCAAGCCCTGCTGGTGCTATTTTCATGACAATTTGTGAAAACCCTTTAGGAAAAATTATAAGGAACGAAAAATACAGGCCCTATGGACAGATATTTGGCACAGAAATCCATGACTCTCAAATGGTTCTAGTGGCATTTTAAAAAAAAAGGGAAAATAACCCCCAAAAAAAACTTGCTACCCCAAGTCCTAATGGAAGGGGGTTCCCCCTTTTAAACACTAACACCCCCTCCCTCTCTCCCCTCCTCCCCTCCCATCAATCCCAAAAAATTTTCATTAAGGTAAATGTCAATTATCTATTGTTATTAATCTTTTTTTATTGTTATTTTAATTATTCTATTGCATTTAAAATTAATATTTCAGTGTAAAAATTTTTTTTTTACTTTTGGGTGTCTTGCAGGATTAATTTGATTTCATTATTTCTTTGGGAAAATTAATTCGACTTTCGATATTTTTCTTCGTGAGCTTCCCAAGAACGGAATTAATATCGAGTCAGGGGTCCACTGTAGTGCTTCAAAAATGTTTTATTCTGACACCTCTGCAAAAACAGTCATTATTATGAGTGAGATGAAATGTTGAAATGTATGAAAGTATTTTCTTTTTGGGGATTTTCTTTCTTCTTGGGTCACCCTGCCTCGGTGGGAGACGGCCGACTTGTTGAGAAAAAAAAATTTTTTTTTTTTTTTTTTTTTTAACAAGTCGGCTGTCTCCCACCGAGGTGGGTTAGGTGTCTGGACCCTCAAAGGGTTAAGGATGAGAAATAGTGATTTGTAAATTGCTGTACCTTATTCCATCCTTTGGTAGGATACCTATTTATCCATCCTCTATCAATAACACACTATAACCTATCTAAGTTGAGGAATAGGAGCACACTTTTCTTGTGTCCATCTGCTTGCAGATGATCCTGCTCCCATAGACTTTTGGACCACAGCTTACTTTCTTCAGTCTGACTGCTGAACAAACCAACGAAACTTTAAATAAACTAACTTTTGACAGCGGCAGTAAGTATAGCTTGTTTGAACAGTACAGCAACCAGTTCCTCAAACATCAGTATGCACAAAGTATCTGTAAGCAACACAGCATCAGGCAAGGGGGAAAAAAAAAAAATGACCTAATTAGGGTTGACTTGTATCCAATAAGTAAGTTGCTGGACTATTACCAACAAAAAACACTTTGAGCCAGTGTTTCTTTAGATTCATATTGAGAAATGCCTTGCCTATCATTAAAGTCGGTAGAGAACTATTGTTAGGGCAGTTCAGAATATTAATTCATTCTCTTCATTATTCACTATTTGGACTTTATTAAAAGATCTATCCAGCTACTACTTCCCCCCCTCCCCCCCAACTTTCCCCAAATAAACAAATAAACAAGCGTGCGTGAGCGTGTTAGATAGGAGTGATTGGAGACGAATGGTACTTGGGACCTGACGATCTGTTGGAGTGTGAGCAGGGTAATATTTAGTGAAGGGATTCAGGGAAACCGGTTATTTTCATATAGTCGGACTTGAGTCCTGGAAATGGGAAGTACAATGCCTGCACTTTAAAGGAGGGGTTTGGGATATTGGCAGTTTGGAGGGATATGTTGTGTATCTTTATATGTGTATGCTTCTAAACTGTTGTATTCTGAGCACCTCTGCAAAAACAGTGATAATGTGTGAGTGTGGTGAAAGTGTTGAATGATGATGAAAGTATTTTCTTTTTGGGGATTGTCTTTCTTTTTTGGGTCACCCTGCCTCGGTGGGAGACGGCTGACTTGTTGAAAAAAAAAATATATATACATATATATATATGATAACATTAGTTTTGTGAAGAGCTTGTTAGTTTTGATTATTCATTTTAGGTGGTTACGTCACCATCCTCGTGTCTTGAGTATGAAGTTCAAGGATGGAGTGAAAAGAGCAGAGAAATCAAATGCCATTGACAACTTTGTCTCTGGTACTGTAGGTGAGTATTTCCTTGACATGAAGGAATTTAACAAATGCCTATTAAAAATTTTTGGCACATACTAATTTCATTGCAAAAAGTAAATTTATTTTATTTTTTGTTAGAATCACTAGATAGTTTTTTTTTTTAAACTACATTTACTTAATTTGACAAAGCAAATGTACACACACGTACAAACACACACAAGGCTAGGAACTGTGACTTGGGGTCAGGAGCTTTGATTTGACCCCTGTAACTGCAAATAGGCAAGTACATGTGTACACAACCCTCCCCCCTTTTTTAAATAAAAAAAATACTATGATGGAGACAGATGCCCATGACTTGCTTCCCTCTGGACCATTTCCTGTAGCACTCCCTACAGACCCTGGCATGCCTTCGAACGTCTTCCAACATGGTACCTTCTCCGGGTAACGTTCCGTTACATGTGTACACACGTACACACACACGTACACACACGTACACACACACACACGTACACACACACACACGTACACACACGCACACATATTCTCTCTCGTTTTTATTCACTCACTATCAGAAAGTGCCTCTCAAGTTCCTCTGATAACCAGTAACTGACATAACAGGCCAAGTAATGAGTAATGACATTATCATCTCAGAGAAATTAGGTTATTTAATATTTAACCTTCCTGTGTTATTAATATCCATTGTGCAATAAGCATTCCCTTATATATTGAACACAAGTCATTATAATTTTAAAATAAAAATTGTAGCAAAAAGTATTGGTATCGGGTGAAAATTGGGTATCAGTATCGTTCCATGCTTTTTTCAAAACACTTGTCATTTTTATTAAATTTACCTTCATGGTTTCTTTTTGCTTGAATATAGTAATACCTTGTTTGTCTTATCTGACATGCTGTACATACTTAATCTGATATAGATTTGTTCAGTATAAAAATTGGTTACAGGCAGGCCCTACTTTAGTTTTGCTGATACATCAGTTTTCAATTATACCCATTCTTCATTTATTCAGGTTTCTTGCAATAAATATATTCAATACTCGCTATAAGCTAAGGATGGAAAAGTTTTTAAGGTAAGTAATGTGTACTGTATATACTTTTTTTTTTTTGAGATATAGCTGTTTTGCTCACTAATGATAGTGTAAGACTGTTATCAGGCTTTTATATCTGTTTGAAAGTGACAAAAAGGTTGAGATTCATTTTACAGCAATTTTTGCTTTACTGTAATTAGAAATTTGGAAGTTCCAGATTCTTACTCTGTAGATTGGTTATGGAAAATGTATATCATGGTGAACACAGTATTACATTGGAAGAACTTATTTTTTGTTAGTTTAGTGAGCCTTTACTGGCTATTCTTTCTAAAAGAATTTAAGTTTTTTAGTGTAGGTCATTGCCTGACTTAGTAAAAGCAGAGTACTGAAGCTCCCTTATTTTTATTTTAGGCAAAGATATGCCAGAGTCTCAGTTTGCAGCAGCACTTGAAGAGGTTCCACCTCCACTTACACAGGAAGAGAGAGAATTATGGACAAAAAAATTAAGTGGTGTTGCACTGTCTTCAGATGCATTTTTCCCATTTAGGGATAACGTTGACAGAGCAAAACTGGTATGTCATTCTTTTGTATTTGTATACCATAATCTTTAAGCATAACTTACTTTCATTCAACTCTGTATACAGTAAATTAGACACGTGTGCAACTCTTTGGTATCCTTATTGAGGAAACGTTTCGCCACACAGTGGCTTCATCAGTCCATACGTAGGAGAAATTTGAAGAACAGGAGGAGAATGAGGTAATCAGTCCCTCAACCTTGAGTCGATGTGTTCAGTCCATCAATTCTATTCAAGATTGATGGACTGAACACATCGACTCAAGGTTGAGGGACTGATTACCTCATTCTCCTCCTGTTCTTCAAGTTTCTCCTACGTATGGACTGATGAAGCCACTATGTGGTGAAACGTTTCCTCAATAAGGATACCCAAGAGTTGCACATGTGTCTAATTTATCAACATGTCGGTTCTCTGAACCATTCATCTACAAATCTGTATACAGTAGTTAAGCATTACAAGGGTTTCTTTTATACTTGTATAATACATAATATATATTTAATCCAAGATTGCAGTGACACTAATATTAGTAATTTCAACTGCACAGTGACTACTGCTAACTTTACATCTTTATCACTAAGTTAAATTATAATTTTCCAGAGTGGTGTAGACTTCATCATCAGTCCAGCAGGATCTACCAACGACAGCATTGTAGTGGATGCTTGCAACGAACATGACATTGTTCTTGTGCATTCAAACCTTCGCCTCTTTCATCACTAGTGCTTTACACAAGCTGTTGCTAAATTCAATACCTGTTAAAACTGTTTTTTATATTTTGACTATATAGTTGTTTCTTGTAAGCTTTCGTGGGGCAAATCTGAAGGCTAATTTGTTTAAATAAACTATGAAAATGCTCTGTCTTGGGTCAGTCATATTTTAAGATGAAACTTTCTTTATATCCTCTAGTTTTTAAAATACAGAACTGACTGCTTTTGTTGGCCTTGGCTGGTGGCTTTCTCTTGCTCACTCTTCCTTTTGTTTGCTCAAGGTTGCACACAAACAAATGACTGTGTGAGCAAGGGGTGGAGGGAGGAGGACTGATGACAGGTATTTATTTGCCAGGGACACAACAGGATTTTCAGGATGACAATAGCTTGCACCAGTGACCCTTAACTGCAACAATACATGTTGTTTTGGTCATATAAGGAACTCTTGGATCGAGCTTGAATGACTTCTCGCTCCACATCCCTAATCGTTCAGTAATCTGGAGTGAACCTCTAAGCAAACTGCATGTATCCTGCTTAAGAATGATTCCTCTCATTCCCCCCAAGTGCTGAATGACCCCTATGGGTTTTGCATTTCCCCCCTGAATGTAATAATAAAAATAACAGCTGGGACATTGACACTGGGCAACACTCGGGGACTAATGTGCCAGCCTTAGTAGTGTATGAATGTGTGCTCCTGTCTTGCCTGAGCATTGGTGATGTATTTTCCCCATTCTCTGGGATACTTGTCCTAGTCTTATTCTGCCCATTGGGTACATTACAAGAGGGGCACCTTTTACAGCTCTGTTTTTGTACTTGGCAGATATTTAACAGTTTTGTGGGAAGCCTGTTGCCAAACTTAAGTGAGGGTGTAGTTGTCCTGCTCTGCTGGGGGCTTAGGCAAGGCAATTTACCTGACTTTAATTAGGAACTCTTTGGCTCTTCTGTGATGTCTTTGCTGTATGACCACATGAATATTTGCTTCCAGTCTTTTCTTGAGGCCCTTAAACAGTGTTGTTCCTGTCAAATTCAAAGGTTTAAGGTAATCTACTTGTTTACACCGTACCCCTTAGAACACAGCCGAGAAAGATGCATAATCTACACCTGGAAGATACTAGAGGCATTGGTCCTAAACCTTCACTCTAAAATATCTACATATGGACACGAGGCTTGGCAGACGGTGATCCTTGTGGGTGTAGTGCTTAGTTATGATTATGATAATTGGCAGACAGTGCAGGAAGCCTCCAACAAAAACCATGAGAGCAATGAGTACACTGGGATAGACCTCTTTAGGGGGGCTTCTTGCAGTGGTAAAGAGGCTATCAGTCTGAGGAATTGGACCTCTTGGTGGTCTTCCTCCAACCAAACCTAATTACCCCACCCTCCCCATACTCCCCTTTTTTTTTTTTTGCCATTTCTCCCCCCTCCCCACCCTCCCCTTGTTTCCTGTCTGTAGCCTTTGGGGGTCCTCCCCTCTGGCATTATAGTTTCTAGGTAGGTGGTGGCGTGCCGGGGTTTGTCCCACTTTGAGGTCCCTCAGGGGTGGTGTGGTTTGCCGTGGAATCTGAATCATTTGAAGGTGCCTTGCTCTCTTCCCAGATTTCTGGGAAGAGGGTGGGGTACCCTTCGGTTAATGGGTGTATCTCTGGAAGCTGCCTGTCGGTTCTGGGAAGTGGCTTTGTGGCGGGTTTCCAACCGCCCTTTCTTTTGCCCGCCATGGTAGCTCTGTAGATGTGAGGTTGCTATCCCAGAGTGCTGGTTTACCGACGTGAAGGGTAGGGTATGACATGGGCTCCATGCTGCATCTTCACCACCGGTGGGCTCGAGGCCCTCTCAGATGAGGGGGGAAGCTTTCGGCCCCTCCATGCCTCCTAGCGACTGTCCCTCCGCTGTCTTTTTTTTTTTTTTTTTTTTTTTTTTTTTTTTTTTTTTTTTCCTTTCTTTTTTTCTTAACAAGAAAGGAGATATCACAGAAGGTGCACCTATTATTATGGAGTCTTCATCCAGTGAAACCCTTCCTCCCAGGCCCCATTCTGATCCCACACCCTGTTCTGACCTGGCTTAGTTATCGGTCCATTCTCTCGACTCTTCTCATACCCCTGTACCTTCTGCTGGTGACACTTCGTCATTTGCTTCAGGTACTGTGGTGTCACCTGTTTGTTCGTGTTGCTACTTCTAGCATGCCTTTTACAATGCATCTGGCTTCCCCGAATGCTGTGCGACGGTTTTCGGAACGCCCGCCGCCCTTGGGTCAGACCGCCCGCTGTACTCCTAAACATCCAAGGCAGCCTACTAGTGACAGTTTGTCGATCGCTCAAAAATGACCTACATGATACTCGCTACCTTTGCATACCGGGCTACCAAGTGTGCAATGGACAGAATTCTTCTCTTTACAAACGATGTCTCAAACGGATTGTCTGATCATGAAATTGGTAAAATACTTTTAAGGCACAGTGGCCAAAATATATCTTTCCACACTTTTCAAAGCGGTGCATGTATCATAACTGTACAAAATTCAGAGCAAGCTCATGCTCTCTCCCGCATCACTTCCATAGATAACATATCAGTCACCATTCGTAAGCACGCTACTCTTAATTCTTGCAGTGGTACTGTGGCCTTACCGTGTACCACGTACAGTGATTTTTTTTTATCTTGCGGCCATATTTTAGGACAATTAGTCCTTCAAAACCTTCCTATTCTTAAGGTACATATGTACATCCTGCCCGCTCGTGGGCTTGTTTAACCTTCGACTGTCGTGAACTTCTGTCTCTGTCTATATTGCAGGCCATCATTTAGAGGTCCGTCAAGTAGTTCCCACCCCCCAACAGTGTCGTAATTGCTGGCGTTTTAGGCACACTGCAGATCTGCGGCAGGATGCTCGATCTGCGGTGCAGCAGATCATTCCAGTACGTCTTGTAGTCTTCCCCCCTCTTGTCTTGATTGCAAGGAATCTCGTCCTTCCTTTTCCTGCTGGTGCCAGGTCTATCATAATGAACAAGAGATCAGTTACCTTAGAGTGTGAGGGCCTTACACTATGGCAATTTAAGCTCCGCCTTCTAGGAAAACTTCGTGTCCTGTATGCTCGAGTAACTTGCAGACTTCCAACCTCGACAGTCCTCCCAATCCTTCTGCATCCATGTCTTCCAGAGTTGCCCCAGTTTCTAATGCTTTTGCAGTTTTATCCTCTGACACTCCTACCTCCACACCACTGTCTACTTCTACTTCTTCATATCGCTAGCTTACTTCTGAGTTTACTAGACCTCGCAGATCTACACTTTGTTCACGTCTATCTCCTATCCAGAATCAATCTTCTACCTCAGAGACTAGTTCTCACTCCCTTTCCAGCTCTCACAAAGGTGGAAGTTCACCCTCCTCCTAGTGTAGTTCCCTCTTCCTCTGTTCCCCCATCCCTGGTCTTCCATAGTTGCCCTCAACCTCCTTCCTCTGTTACACTGCAGGACTTTTTTTTTCCCCAGCCACCGCATCTCTCCAGGCTCGTACTCCTTGCCCTCCTCAGACCTCTTTGGTTGCCTCCATAGTTACTTCGACCTTTACTTGCACTGCCTCTCCTGTCTCTGACATCGTCGGCTTCCTTATCAACTGAGACGCTAGACGCTATCTTCAACTATATAGCGGAGACACCCCCGATGGACACCAACGCGCCTTCTTCCCCTTCTATTTTACGACCCATGCAACAATCTGTTCCTCTGCAATATTCTAATTCTTCCTTACACGCTTACTGTTGCCCTCCCACATTAACTTTACTGATCCTCAATGCCCATAGATTTTATAGTATTTTTGTCATTTTTATTTCTGTACATAATGTCTCTTTTACAATGGAACATTCTTGGCCTTAGGAGGCAGTCGAGGAGAACTCTAATTGCTGCTCTCCCAGTTGTCCCCAGTATGTGTTGGGTTGCAAGAGCCCAAAATTCGTTCTCTCATTCGCCCCATTTCGGGCTACTTGCTGATACATTTTTCCAATCCTTTACTTGACGTATCATTTAATGAAAGCTCGCTTCTTTTACATGTTGATATACCGTATCAACAAGTTTTTATTCGTTCCCCGCTGCATTATACTGTAGCTCGTATTATACCGATGGTTTACAGTTTGCTCTCTCTATCTTTCTCCCGTGCATTCTGTATCTCTGATATCGCATTTTTAGTTTCATCTCTACCACCTCCCATATTGTTGGGCAATTTTAACGCTCGTCATCATCTCTGGGGAGGGTCCCACTGCGACTCTCGTAATGATCGGTTGGGGAGACTTCTCACATCTCATCTTCTTCATGTTTTAAACACGGGTGCTCCTACCCATTTTGACTCGTACTCAGTCTCTCTCCTGCATTGATCTTTCTATCTGTTCCTCTCTCATTGCACTTGATTTTGTGTGGTCTGTTCTTTAAGAGTTACATGATAGTGATCACTTTCCCATCCTTCTACTATGTATGCCCGACCGTTTTGTAGCCCTTGTTGGCAGTTTGCTCGAGCAGATTGGGACTTATACTCCCATCTTATTACCCATTGTGAGGACCCCCTTTCATCCTCTACTGATGAACTGGCACACCAGTTTTCGACCTTGTTCTAACTGTGGCGACGCGTTCTATCCCCCAAACCTCAGGTAGGCATTCTCAGGCATGGTCTCCTACATGTGCCCGTGCAGTGTGTTTAAAACGTGCTGTGTGGAGCTGTTATCAATATAATCATACTGCGAAGCATCTGTTGGATTTCAAGCAGGCAAGGGCAGTTGCTCGCAGTGTCATCCGCGACACTAAGCGCACTTGTTGGCGAGACTACATGTCTACCATTAACTCGTCTTCCCCTATGTACGCAACTTGGAAAAAGGTGCGGAAATTGTGTGGTAAGTACACTCTGGACCCAGCTCCCATTTTGCAGGTTGCTGGAGTTGATGTAGCAGAACCCTAAGAAGTTGCCACAGCAATCGGGAGCTATCTTGTCTGTATCTCCCAAGGGCTTCACCTCTGTCCCTCATTTCTTGCATATAAACCTTCCAAAGAGCAATTGCCCTTAGATTTCTCCTCCGATGGGTTGGAGCTGTATAATGTACCTTTTACTCTTCAAGAACTGGAGTCCACGCTTTCCATTTGCCGGCCATTTGGACCTGATGATATCCACATCAGTATGCTTCA